CTTTTTGTTGTCTGATTGCTGTGGCTAGGACTTCTAATACTATGTTGAATAGCAGTGGTGAGAGTGGACATCCCTGACAGGCAAGGAATTTCTGCAAGGGAGTATAGAACTCATGACCAGGAGTCTGGGGCATTGTATTTGCTTGGGATCCAGTGAGGAACTCTTCAAAACAAAGCTCTGAATATTTACCTTGCTCTACAGATGTTAAGGGGCAGTGACATATGCAGTAAAACATTCAACCATTGTTACAGAATTCTAAAACATCAGAGTTTGTATTCGTTATGTTGCTTTAAGCTCCAAGCAACACAAAGCCCAACCAAGGTGGCTTTAGGTTCAAGGCTTTATTATCCCACATACTAAGAAGTTAGGAGGTAAGTAGTTCCAGGGTTGGTTCAGTGGCTCAGTGTCACCAGCAAGGATCCAGGCTCACTCTGTTGTCCTGTTCTGCCATCCTCAGAGCTTCTGCTTTGTCCTTAGGCTTGCGTCTCATCAACACAGCTGCTGCAGTTCCAGACATCACATATCAGCCCAGCATTATCCAGCAGCTGCACAACCCCGCTTCCCTCTCTGTAGCTCTTGTTACTAGGGGGGACGTTTTTCCCCTCGTCCCCAGCAATCTTCCCCTCAGATACCATCAGCTGGGGTCATGTACCCCAGCTGTAAGGGATGCTAGGAAGCAGGTATCCAGCACCTCCAGCTTTGTGGGAGAAGGTGGATTCTAGCAACCAGGAAGAAGGGTGGAGTACTGGCTGCTGGGTAGGCAACCAACAGTAACAGTCACAGAGCTGAAAGTTCATCGCAAATGTCTTTGCCAGGACTCTTTGAGTAGCAAGGGACAGAAAAGCAGTTCAGACTGGCTCATGTCAAAGGGAAATTCTATCAACTCAGGAAAGGAAAAGTCCAGGGTTTAGGCACAGCTGGATCAATCACTCAATGTCATCAGAAGTCTATCTCTCCCCATCTCTTGGTTCTACTTAGGCTTCATTCTGATTCCCTCTTCCCAAGCAGTAGCAGGATGGCCCCAGGCCTCAATCTTTAACCCTAGAGAAGGAGCGCCTCTTTGTGGATATTTCCAGAAGTCTTGAGGTTGCCTCTACTGGTCCAAGCTTGGTTCATGTTCCCTCCAGGAGCCAGTGCCGAGGCCAGCGGAAAGTGGTATTCAGTTTGGGCAGACCAGAATCACATGTCCACCTGGAACATGATGCAGGCAGGGTCAACTTTCCCAAACCAAGGACTGAGAGTGGGGAAAGGATGGTTCCTCAGGGAAAATGTTACCTGTAAGTGCTCTTACCAAAAGAAGGGGGCCCGGATGCCAGGATGGGGGGAAAAAAAACCATAAGATGTCTTCGCTACTGTCCACAGCCCTCCTTTTCCACATATGGAATTTGAGGCCCAGAGAGCTTAAATGACTTTCTAAAAGTCTCTAGAAGTCTCTCTAGAAGTCACTCAGCTAATTCATGGCAGGATCAGAGGCAGCAACTATTTTTCTTGATTTCTTCATTCAGGGTTACTGGACCATCTTCCTTCTTAAGATTTAGAAGGGCCTCTATGTCTGGCATCTTAGCTTTGCTTTGTATAATTTTATAGCCCTTTAAAGTTAGAGTTCTCTGAATGAGAATTCACTGGGAGAGAATTTTTTAAAGATTGGTGGTAGATCTTTTTTTTTTTTTAAAGATTTTATTTATTTATTCATGAGAGACAGAGAGAGAGAAAGAGAGAAGCAGAGGGAGAAGCAGGCTCCCCGCTGAGCAGGGAGCCCGATGTGGGACTCGATCCCAGGACCCTGGGATCATGACCTGAGCCGAAGGCAGACGCTTAACCATCTGAGCCACCCAGGTGCCCGATTGGTGGTAGATCTTAAAATAACTAGGTCACTGGGGCCTAGAGACTCACATGGATCTACCAGTGCAGATAAAACACATTCCTATCTTAATCACTACACTTTAGTTAGACATTAACATATTCACAGTTCAGTATTTTCAGAGCATATCCACTGCATGTACACTTTCCATTTTTTTCACTTGATATACTAATACTCTTTACAGATATATATATAGATATAGATTACAAAGCAATGGTACAGAATCACAGCATTCAGCCCTCCTGGAGCCTTGAGAAATGGGGATTGCCTTTCTATAACAAACAGGTCAGGAACCTAAGACTCAGAAAGAATAACTAAACTTCAAAGGTTCACATAGCCAGTAAGAGACCAATAGAAGGACCCAGAAATGCACCATGGTGTGCTGAAGCTGGCTCCTAGCAGCTTGTCAGAGCTCGTTCTGTCCATCTCTTGCTCTACATTCACTGAGGTCAGCTTGGTAGCTTGAAATCTGCCTTAGTGGGAATAGTGACACCACAGAAAGTAGCAACACTACAAATCAGAGTTCCCCACTTCCTCCCTCAACTGGTAGTTAAACATTAACAGCATACAGCCACATATCTGTCTCCAAATCTTGTGTGTTATCTGCATTGGCAAGTGCCTGCCTTTCTTAACAACAAAAGAGGTGTCTTTAGCCCAATGGTGGACATGATGGTTTGGGTTTTTACCCATTTCTATGGTCTGAGTGTTTGCTAAATTTCCCTAACCCATTTCCAAGACAGGTGGATCCCCTAGGGCATCTTGAGCATACCCTGAAGGACCACGGGTTTTATTCTCAGGCCATGGGAGACCACTAGGGGTTGAGTTCTGCCATGTAGCCTCCTGTTACACCAGGCTAAGCCCTCTAGGCCTAGCCATTTATTAGGTCCTACCAGAACTTACTCCAGGAGCACACCTTATACCTGTCGATCTCTCCTCCTAGAACCCACAGGCTCACTCCTTCATGGTATGCTCAAGGACCTTCAAAGGGCCCTTTGGCAACCTTATAAACACTATCAAAGTCTGATGCCTGTTCCCATTGTGTTTATAGCTCCTTCCAGTCTACAAGAACCATCTGGAACAAATGCCAAGGAAAAGAATGTGAGTGTTTTTTAAACACTTAACCTCACAAGAAAAAGATGTCTAAGCACTCTGCTTTAGTTTTGAATTTGGGTCTATTGGTGCTAATATCCAGAATACTAGGAAGCACAGAGGTTTGTTCCATTTGAAAAGAGATCCAGAAGGAATGAAATCAAACCAAGCATGTTCTCCAACCAGAACAGTGTTATATTACAAATCAGTAATAAGATATTTGGGATATGTATATACCTTTTAGACATCTTGGAAATTAAACAGCACACTTGAAAAAAAATCAACAGGTCAAAGAAAAAATTCACAAGGAAAATTTAAAAATATTTCTGAGTGATGATAGTACAACCTATCCAAATTTGTGGGATGCAGCTAAAGCAGTGTTCAGAGGGAAATTTATAGCTGTTAATGCTTAACTTAGAAAACAGGTCCAGGTTCCTTTGTTTTTACAGCATGACTGAGTCCTCAGCTCCTTGCTGTTGACATTGCCCATGCATGCACTTGTTCAGTAACAAAGACTGTGCATCTACAATGTCCAAGGCTTGGTGTTAGGGACTATGGATACAAAGGTGAATAAACAGCGCCTTCCTGGAGCCTAGTGGGTGAAACTACCGAACAAATTAGCGTCACGTTAGGAGTTGTGATAAATATCTAACTAGAAGCAACAGGGTACAATGACAGCAACCAAACAGGGTGGCCTAGCAAATGCGATCAGATGAGGCCTCTTGGAAGGTGATATTCAGGTGACATTCAAGTGTGAACCTGAAGCTAAGACAGTCAGTCATGCTGGAAAGCAGAATAAGAGCTTCAGAGATATGAAGGCCCTGGGGCTAAAAGTTAGCCTTAGGCCTATGGTGGGGGGACTATGTAGGAGATTACAGAGAGATGGACAGAGACCAGATCATATGAGGTCTTGGGTACCAAGACAGGGGTTTGGGTTTTATTCTCAGGCCATGGGAGACCACTAGGGGTTGAGTTCTGCCATGTAGCCTCCTGTTACACCAGGCTAAGCCCTCTAGGCCTAGCCGTTTATTAGGTCCTACCAGAACTTACTCCAGGAGCACACCTTATACCTGCAGATCTCTCCTCCTAGAACCCACAGGCTCACTCCTTCACAATAACTCTGTGGTCCTGTCCTCTGGGGAAGCTTGCCCTGACACCAGCTATCCACTTTGCAGAGGTCACAGCTCTGTGCCTTCCTCTGCACCAGACACAATAGAAAGCATGTCAGTAGCTTCTCTCATTTAATCTACAGCAACCCAGGAATCGAATGTTATCAAACCTTCATAGGAACAGATGTTCTCAATCTACTGCTTCCCTTTTACACATTCTCATAATCCTCTGGGCCCCTATCTCTATAGCAGTTAGCACTCTGTGTTTTAATGGCCTGTTTTCTTGTCTGTATTCCCTCCCAAACTTAAGGGCAAGGCCCAGGTCTCTATTCCCATATCTCTGGGCATCAAGCACGGGCCCTGTCCCAGAGCAGGCTCTGTTAACAGTTGGATGCACGGTGGACCCTTAGCACTGAGCCCACATTCAGACTAAAGTTACTTACCCTGTGATTCATCCCCAGAGGGCAGCCAGGTGGATCATACAGGGTCTGTTTCCATTCTACGTCCTATGCTGTGGCTCCCCTTGGCATAGATTGCTGTGGGTGGGAGGTGGGATACCAAGTGGAGGTGGAGGGGTTATCTCACCAACTAGTTGCTTTTTCTGCAGAGAGAGAAAGGGAATGTGCGGGTGTATGTGGAACCTGGTCAGTATGTGGATCCTTTCACGACTGTGACTCTGGGCTGGCCAGACAGTGACAAGGATTTACGCTTCCAGTGGTCATGTGGTAGGTGGCTGCAGAGCTCTGGAACTGTCCTAGCTCACCACACAGTAATGGATAGAGGTCAGGTTTGCTGTTTTTTAGCCTTCACACAGGCATTACTTATGCCTGCCATTTTGTGCACCTTGCATGTGCCAGAGATTGAGAATTCCATGGAAATGGGAGGCTGGGGGGAAGCAGTGGCAAACCAAGGCAGAGGTAGCCCTGAAGGCAGGCAACAAGGAGATGCATTATCTGTAAAGAATCTGAGAAAAGTAATTGATCCTAAAAGTCAATCTGCTTTATTTTCACCACAAACAACTTCAGTGATAAAATAAAAAAAACCTCCACCCGCTGAGTGGATCCCTCCTTTCACTTCCTCGTGCTTGATATGTCACTGGGAAGAGAGTCTGGAAGTGAGGAGGCATTTTCAGACAAACCAAGAGAGTAGCTAGCACCAGTACCCATTATTTAGAAACAGTTGTGCTCCTTTCTGTAGGGATATATCCTAGCTAGGCAGACATTCTTTTGGAAATGAATGCCATCTCTAATGTACAAATTATTTTTATTAGTGATTTTTTCTTTGAACAATATATCCTGCATATTTTAATGTCATGATATCTTCTCCATCTTGATTTCATAATAAGTACATAATAGCCTGTTTAGTTGATGTATGATCGTTTATTTACTGGTGCCCTATTTTTGGACATTTAGGTTGTTTTGAATTATTTGCCCTTATAAACAATGTTGTAACGAACATCCTTGTAGTTCTATCTTTATTTGCCTCTGTGGTAACTTTCATAAATAAGTTTTGAGAAAGTAAATAAATTTCAAGAAATGGAATAGCTGGGTCAAAAGTCATGGAAAATTTGAAGCCTTTCAATATCCCTTGGTAAGTGCTCAGGACATCCTTTTGAATGTTAATTCTCATTATCAGAATTCATAAAGGATGCACGTATAGAGTTTGGGTGGTTGAGTTAATGGCCCAACCCTAGATCATGTGTCCTGTGAGTGACTACTATACTGGGGGGCAGAGGAAGCAAGGTGACTGATGGGTAAACATCGATCAAGAGAGATGAAGGGCAAAGGATACAGGGACTTACCCAGCTGGTATCATAAAGCTGGAGATGACATGCAGCCTCTCAGATGGAGATACAGCCCCCCAGGTCCCCAGTGTACCCACAGGGACATACAGCTGAGGACAATCGTTTCCAAGTGGAGTGAGAGTTGCACCAGGGATAAGAAACTGCCCTGGATGCTCTCCCAGGCAGAGCGGTCTATCCTCCTGGCCTCTCTCCTGCTATATGCCTGCCCATTCATTCATCAGTGCCAAGTGCCTAGTACAAACAAAAGAAGCTGACATACCCTGCAGGTCTGCTTGGAGTCAGGGTGAAGCGCCGCTCGTTTCCCCAGAAGCATCCTTCCGCAGCACCATTCCTGCACCCTGCAAATGACAGTGTTTTTAAAAACCAAACTCTCTCTTTGGAGCTGCTTTTCCTATCTATATATGACTCTTTTCTTCTAAAAATCCCAAACCAGAAGGGTCCCTGGATGGATAACAGTGTTTGCCCCCCTCTCTCAGGACATTGCTGGGCCCAGCGGAGCTACTGTGTTGAGAGGCAGCTGCTCTGCACAGACCAAAGGGAGCTGGTGCTTCCTCCGTCCTGCCTGCCACCACCCAACTCCGCCATCACCCTGCGCCTGGCCACCTGGAGAGGCAGGGAGCTGGAGAACCGGGAGGAGCAGTGCCTCTATGTGTCCGCCCCCCTGGAACTCAGGCCTTGAGTCAGGTGGGGGCGAGAGAGCAAACTCCTGTGGTGTTGCCACCCCTTCAGCCACCGTTTACTGAAGAGCTAGCTCCAGCTGGCACTGACGTAGGGGCAGGTCTTACAGGGGTGGCCCAAAAGCCCCGGTCATAGTTCTAACAGGTAGTGCTCCCTGGTGGTCAGCAATGATTTGCCCCAACAAATGCAGGGAGATAGCGCACCCCAAAGACAACTTCCCAGACTCGGGACCAGGGAAGGCTTCCCTCAGGAGAGATGTGAAGAAGGAAGAGGAACCAGCTTGGCAGGAAAAGGGGGCTGGAGAGGAAATTGGATGGCAAAGGGAGAGAGCATAGAATAAGCTGGAAGTGAAGGAGACTGATGTGGCTCAAGTATGGAAGGAGAGAGAGGGGCAAGAAGAAACCGGGAGAAAAGGTAGGGCCTGGCTCTGGTGCAACCTTGTGGGTTATGTCACAGACATGATTTGAAGAGTTCTGGAAAGTCACCCAAGAGTTGCAAGCAGGCTGGGGACATGATTATGTCTTACTTCAAAATGCTGTGGTAGCAGGGTGGAGAGCAGGTTGCAGGAGGGCAAGAGAGGGCTCCAGGAGATTGCTTGAGTTCTTGCAGGAGTCAAGGTGAAAGTTCAAGGTAGCCTGGTCTATCAACTGAATCCCAGCAAGAAGTAGATGTCTCCCTCAAACTGGGAATTGATGAGAGTTGGACAAAGGGTCTATTTACAGATGTGGGCAAACAAAGGGATGACAGTGCAGGACTACAATAGGAAGAAGCCACTCTTCTTAGGACTGCAGAAAGAAGGAGTGGGGGATGGCGTTGCTGGAACCCCCCCGGGAGCTGTGGTCTTGGTTAGGGGAGGAACACAGCCACTGCCAACTGTTGCCCACCTGCTAAGGAGCAGGGACAGTGGTGAATAAATACCCACCTCCCTCCCTCACCCTCTGATTCCCAAGCCAATGCCTCCCATTGCCAACCAGAAGCCAAAGGGCATGGGAACTCAGGTGACCCAGTCTATGGAGATTAGTCTCCTAGTGCCCAGAGCCACAAAGAGTTTTTAGAGAATGTCTGGTACACCTGTGCTAGGAAAGACATGAAGACAGAAGTAGGAGATTGAGAGCTGCTAAGGAGTTAAAACTGAAAGGTCCTGCGGATGGGCTAGACACACGGCAGATGCCAGAGTGATTTCTCACTGGCTCTAGGGAGGGATTGGGACGCTAGAGAGAAGACCCAGGATCTGAATGTAGATGTGCTGGTGCGTGTTCCTTTCTCCCACTCAAGAGTCGTGTCACCTGGTACAAATCACATTGGCTCCCTGAGCCTGGTTTGCTTGTCTGTGATAGGGGATTCTAATATGTTGCTCCTAGGGTCGTGGTAAGCACTGGATAAGCAAATAATGATGCAAATTATTTATAACCTGTGGCATGCAGGCAATAAAACCATAGCATTCCTTTATTATTGTTAGAGCCAGAAGGACTCATGAAAATATTGTCTGCTTTTATCCCCCCCCCCCACTTTGCAGGAGAAAATGAGGCTCAGAGAGTTTAAGTGACTCATGCAAGGTGACCATTCTTACGAGGCAGGGACAGGATCCGAGGACCCTGGGCTTCATGCACTTTCCAAACCATTGTCTTTCGTCGGGAATGAGGTGGGAATTTGGTCAGGCACAAATCACTCCATCTCATGACCAACACTATGTGTGGTTTTGGTTGGGGCATGGGTTACTTTTATTCCATCTTTCACTTGAAAAAAGGCCCTCTGCCACCTTTGCAAACGACCTGAGAAGAACCAGACAAAAGACGAGGTCACGAGGCCTGAGCGAGCTTCCTCACTCCTTTCTGTCTCCCTCTCAGTTGTGAGAACTGCAGACCAGCGAATGCCAGTGAAGATGTCGTGCTCAGAGTCACCATGGGGGACAACTCCTCAGTGGCCATGTTCAACTGGTATTTAGAGGACACCTGTCTGGAGAAGGTGAGGACACTGGCAGACACTCCCACTTCGACTGACCAGAACCTGGGTCACATGCCCAGGACTGAGCTGGGGGCAGGCAAGAGCCCAAAAGGTGAGGGGGCGGGGTGGTGGTATTCCCAGCGAAAAACCAGGGCATTGGTCAGAAGGGAGAACAGATGCAAGGGAGCAGAAGCAATGGGGAAACATCACAGCAGATGCTGCAGGTGCCCCAGCCCAGTCCCTCTTCCCAGGCTGATGCACCCATCCCAGCCGCTGTGGAGTGACTGCCGGCCAGTAACTGATGGAGGTGGGGGTCTAATGGTTCAGCCTCCCTGCCTCTGAGTAAGAGAACTTCTGTGGTGCAGCTCACACTCCCTGTGGGATCAGGCTGAGGCTGACTGGACACCTCCTGAAACCACTTCTCTGCCCTACTCTGCTTCCCTCTCCACTCTGGTTTTCCCAAGAGCCCTCCCTCAGTAAATGACCTGCACACGAATCCTCGTCTCAGGCTCTTCTTCAAGGGAACCTGATCTCGGACAAACACCTACACCAGACTGGAAATTGGGTATGTGGGCTGACTTGGGGAAGCAGGTGGTGTCTTTGCAGCAGAGACAGATCTGGAAGGCTTCCTAGGGGTGAGAAGCCACTGTACTGCTGAGGTCCAGCAGCCTGGCTGAAGCTTCAAGGGCTCTGGTTGGTGCTCTTTCAGGCTGAGCCTCTCCCGGCTGCCTGCAGATTCCAGGAATTTTGGCTGAGTCCTTTAATCCTCCTTCAGAGCAACACCTCCATGCTGCGGTTGAACAGCTCCTTCCTGCAGACCTGGGGCCAGGCCATCCGGATCAGAGCCACAGGTGTGGAGGCCTCCCCTAAATCTCTTGTCACGGGTCCCGTCTGCTGCAGAAAGTGAACCAAGACAAACCCAGAAGCCCTGAAATGTGGGACTTCAGTGCAGGGTCAGGGGCCAGACGCAGGCTCTGGTGTTAATCCCATCACCAGCACTTAAACTGTGCCTCAGTTTCCTCAATTCCTCTGAATTGCATTATGCAGGGTGGATGAGACATATTATTCTGGGGTGGTGCAGCCTGCATGTCCTGCCAGGAAGATTCTCATTTTAAACAAGCCCAGTGCGGTGGGAAATGTAGACTCTCAAAAAGACAAACGATGGGTGATTATTCTTTTCTGGATGGACTCATTTGATTCAGTTTTTCTCAAAATGGCCCATAGGCCTCCCACACTGGGACAACCTGGGGTATTGGTTTAAAATGAACACTCCCAGACTTGCCCCAAACTTTCTGGATTAGGTCTACACTAATCATTTTTAATTGGTTAAAATTCTCTTTATGCCCAGCTCTTCCAGGTACATACTCTTTTTGAAATACCAGGCTGTGTGGGATGCTGGTGCAGGTGGAAGCCTGGAAAGAGTAAGGCCTTGGGCAGGATCAGCCTGTTTCTAGATTCTGACCATGGACCTTCTGAGCTTGGTGATCTTGAGCAAGTCATTTTGTTTCCCAATAGACTTCCTCCTCACCAAAGCTGCAAGGAAGCTACTAATATTAGCCCTGTTTTACAGATGAAGGACTGACTCTCAAAATGTGAGGCCCCAGGATACCCTGCAATAGGGGTAGCTGTTAGATATGCAGATTTCTGGACCCCATCCCAGAACCTCCAGAGAGGTCTGAGGCTCGGGTCAGAACATGGGCCTGGGAATCTGCATGCTTAACAAGGTCCCAGGGCAATCCTGAAGCATGGTACTTTGTGTGACCCACAGAGCCCCTCAAGCACCCTCTGTCTTCACTCCCCAGCAGTGACCGGGCATGCCTATGGGGAGGACACCTATGTGATCAGCTCTCTGCCTCCCCCTGAGGTGCCCATCTGCACCATCACCCCAGAGGAGGGTACCATTCTGACACGCTTCACCATCTTCTGCAACACATCCTTGGCCCTGGGCCCCCTGGAGTACTGCTTCTGTCTGGAGTCAGGTACCGGCCCAGGGCTATTGCTCTCCCTTCAGCTGCTAGGCTCCATTTCTCCCAGAACAGGGACCTGTCTCTCTGTGAGAGCTGCAAAAAGTATGTTCCATGTGAGAGAGGTTTGCAGAATGAAGAACCTCCTACACCTTAACCCCAGCCCCAGGCACAGTGACCCAGCCACATGCCTGCGGGAGGGGGATGCTCTTCAGATCAACCAGCCTAGGAAGGCCTTTGTACAGGAAGTGACTTTTGAGTGAACTTGGATGTGTTTTGAGCTAATTTTTAAGATCTCCTACTCCCCGCTTCCTCTTCCTCCTTCTCCTTTTTGTAATTTGGTTTACTACCTTGAATTTTTTTAAGTCTGTAAAGAGAGAAAAATTTTTTTGAATTTTTCATGGATTCCAGTAAAATTATTCCAAAGTCCTAGCAGCATGTGATTACCTAGAGAGGCCAGTGGATCAGTATAGATGGCTGTCTTCTCTCTGAAAGCATGGAGTCCCTGAGTGCCTGCCATGCCTTCATGAGCTGTGGCTTTGGTGTTCATAGCAGAGGCCTTAGGACATGGACTCTCGAGTCAGCCAGGCCCTGGGGCTCTCCCAGCTGCAAGAGTAGCTGTGCGACTTTGGACAAGTTGCTCAGCCTATGACTTAGCTTCCTCTCCAGTAAAATGGAGTATTGATCCACTTTGCCTCTTGACTCATTCCGAGGACTGAATGAGGTCATAAGACACATGAAACCTTAGACCCAGCCTGATACAAAGCAGGTATTCAGTAAGTGGTATTACAATTGATTGGGAGTGATGGAATCTTCCAGAAACATTGCCAGAGGGGTTGCAACATGAAGGCTGTTGATGTCAGAACCTGCAGCTGTGGCTTCAGCAAGGAGGGTGAGGGAGGAGGCCTGAGTCAGCGGGAGGCAAAGTTGATGTTGTCCCAGACCTTCACCGTCATCGAGCCCAAGCCCAGCGACACCCTTCTCCACATTGCTGGTTACCTTCCCACTCATTCACTTCTCACTGGTGACTGCAGAGGGGCCGTGGGGGGGGGGGGGTGCTCTCTCCTGCCATCTCCCATATCTGGCTTCCTGTTCCTCTTGGCAAAGACAAACACTGATCCAATCAACCTGCGCCCTTACTGCTCTGGGAGAAGGTGCCCCGGGGCACCAGCCTCTCAGCTCAGGGACAGAGTCCTAGGCCTGGTTCTGCCTGGAGAGGCCAAGCCCAAGCTTCCCCTAGAACACATGGGGAAGAGTGGAAATGTTCAGGTTTGTTTTTTTCCTTGCAGTGAGTAATTTAAAACAAAAAAACCCTTTGTTTGTTTGTTTTAAAACTTTTTAGGAAGCTGAAATTTGAACAAACCAACTGTAGGAAAACACTCATGAGATAACGGGGGAAAACTTGACTACTCACTGGGTATTTCATGCTATTAAGGGATTATCATTACTCATTTTAAAGGTTGATAATGACATCATGGTTTTCTTTTTAAAAAAGAGTCCCTATCTTCTGTAGAAGCATATAAAAATCGAAACATTTAGTGACATGACCTGGGCGTTGGAATTTGCTGCAAAATCATCCACGTGGAGAGAGCAGGCTGGGTGCCAGGGAAACACGACTGGCCACGAGTTGATAACTTTGAGTAGTGGGTGTGTGCAGGTTCATCTCATTACTCTACTTTTGTAAGTTTAACATTTTTCATAATAAAAATAAGTTGAAAACAAAAGATTAAGGCTAACACTATCTTTGGCACCAGGCAAATCTTGTATATATTGAAATATTTGCTGGGACGCCTGGGTGGCTCAGGTTAAGCGCCTGCCTTTGGCTCAGGTCATGATCCCTGGGATCAAGCCCCACATCGGGCTCCCTGCTCTCCAGGGAGCCTGCATCTCCCTCTGCTGCTGCTCCCCCTGGTTGTGTTCTCTCTCTTTCTGACACATAAATAATAAAAATCTTTAAAATAACATTTGCTGATGAGATTATACCATGTCTAGGATTTGCTTTAAGGTATTCCAGAAAGAGAAGAAACTGGGGGGAGAGGACAGAGACAAAACAAGATTGGCAAAAGGTTGGCACTTACAGCAGCAGGTGATAGGTATTTATTCTGTTCTCTTCTGTCGATGTGTAAGGAAATTTTGAGAGTGCCCTTGATAAAAGGTTGAAGAGGAACATATGAATTCTAACTGGCCATTGGAGCCTGGTACCTTTCCCCATCTTTCTGAGTCTAGATCTCTCATGGCAAAGCACATAGTAAGTGCTCGATGCAAGAAAGCTGTTACTAACACTGTTTTTATGGCAGGCAGTCTGCTCTGTCATTCGGCACCAGCTGATGCTCTCTGTCCCTTGTCCTCCAGAACAAATGCGATGCCTTATGCCAGAGGTGGGCCCAAGTGACCCTCAGAAGGACAATGCCTACAAGCAGTGTCTACCTTCAGCTGGAACACATGGAGCAAGAGCTTCAGCTGGTGGGGCCCCGTGGCTTCCCCCAGAGCCAGAGCCACGCCTGGGCCCTCAGCCAGGTGCAGATGCTGAAGGGCTGCCTGGGGGGACAGCTGGGCACCCCACCCCCAGGGTACACCAGGTAATCCCCTCCCCTGGGTGCTTAGTGGGCACCTGCCCCCAGTGGGGGGCCTGCAGAGAGAGTATATCCCAGGCCACCTTAAGGATGTTCACCCAGATCACATGTATAATATGAATAATACCATATTTCCTCAATTCTAAAGATCTTTTTGTGAGAAAGGCCAGCAATTTACAGGAACTTTCCCTTCAGAAAAAAAAAAAAAAAACCAAGTCATTAAAGGTGCCCTTTGAGGTGGGTACCAGATAAAGAGGTGGTGGTACGAGATGCCAGATAGAATACAGAATAGCCCTTTGAGATGGGTATGAGATACAGGGTCTGAGAGGTCAAGGAGTTTGGCCACAGTCACGCAGCTGGTAAGGGTGAAGTGGGATTTGAACTTGACCAGGCGGGTGCCACTCTGATCACACCCATCCTGCATTTCAGCTTCTTGACGGCGAGCAAGCATCCTCAGGGCCTGCCCTGGTGGTGCGTCCTGGTGGGCTGGCTCCTGGTGGCAGCCACCAGCAGCGTGGCAGCCTTTTTCACCATGCTCTACGGCCTGCACTATGGGCGGGGCAGCTCCCTCAAGTGGCTCATCTCCATGGCCGTCTCCTTCGTGCAGAGCGTGTTTGTCACCCAGTCCCTGAAGGTCAGGTTGCCCTGGACCCCTCTGCCCACACTTTCCATCCTGCCAGCTGCCTTGTCCTTAGGCTCAGCCATTCCTTTGTCTATTGATTACAAACCTACACAGCATCTTGTCGGTGAGGTGGGGCTGGTGCCGGGTGGGGAATTACAATGAACATAATCTCTGTGATAATCCAAGTTCTGGGACAGGGGTTCTGGGACAGAGACTCTAGGCCAGGCCGAATGGCTTACCAAGATGTGGCAAGTCACCATCAGTGACCCTCAGGAGGGTCCTCGCCTCCATTCTATAAATGACAACCCAAGGTTAGGAAGGTAAGGTCACAAACATCTTGCCCTAGGTCACATGTATAAATATGAATAATACCACATTTCTTCAATTCTAAAGATCGTTTTAATTGTGAGATAGGCCAGCAATTTACAGGAACTTTACCTTCAGAAAACAAAACAAAACAAAACAAAACACCAAGTCATTAAATCTGTGCATCATTTGAAAGATGCACTCCTATTTCTGAAATGTAAAGTTACTGTCAGAGTTGGAGAAATACTGAGCCCCAGCCTGGAGTTTGGAGCCACAGCTCCCCCTGGAAGGAGTCAGGTGGTAGGAATATACTGTTTGTGTTGGGGTGGGGGGTGGGACTGCAGAAAGGAAGGGACATTTACAGTGAATCTTTATGCCTATGAGACTCTCCAAATCCCTAACCCCCATTTTACCTGATAGTCCCCAGTTCTGCCCTGAATAGCCTTTATCAGAAGGTATAAACAACTCCCGACATCTCCTCCAATCTAGTCTGAGAATAGTAAGAATGGAGTTGTGAGCCATTTTGCTCCCAACCAAAGCACAGAATCCTACGAAGCACAAGCTTAGGTGCAGAGATGAAGGCATGGATGGAATGAATTACTTAATACAGGAAGAAAGGGGGCAGGATGGAGGGAGGAAGGAGATGTATTTCAGCACTAGAGTTAGTATAACAGATAAGAGGGAGCTCTACCAGCAGGGGAGCGCAGGTGGGAAAGCTCTGGTATGAGAAGCAGGCTGAGCTCAGGATTCAGTCTCTGCTTGGTGGCCAGGTGCCCTGGCCCTCTCCCTTCACAGCCACGTCCCCTCTTGGCACAGGATGGCCTTGGTTCCCACCTGACTTCCTCAGAGCATGGCTTCTGTGCCCAGGACACAGATGTGGCCTTGATCCTGACCCCTCTCAGATCCCAGGAGTTGACAGTTTCCAACCCAGGCCTGGGGTTCACAGTGGGTGTTTTCCAGGTGCTGGGCTTTGCAGCCTTCTTTTTTTTTTTTTTTTAATAATTTTTATTGTTATGTTAATCACCATACATTACATCATTAGTTTTTGATGTAGTGTTCCATGATTCCTTGTTTGTGCATAACACCCAGTGCTCCACGCAGAATGTGCCCTCTTTAATACCCATCACCAGGCTAACCCATCCCCCCACCCTCCTCCCCTCTAGAACCCTCAGTTTGTTTTTCAGAGTCCATCGTCTCTCATGGTTCGTCTCCCCCTCCGACTTACTCCCCTTCATTCTTCCCCTCCTGCTATCTTCTTCTTCTTCTTTCTTTTTTCTTAACATATATTGCATTATTTGTTTCAGAAATACAGGTCCGTGATTCATCAGTCCTGCACAATTCACAGTGCTCACCATAGCACATACCCTCCCCAATGTCTATCACCCAGCCACCCCATCCCTCCCACCCCCCACCACTCCAGCAACCCTCAGTTTGTTTCCTGAGATGCTTTGCAGCCTTCTTTGCACTGGTCTTGAAGAGAGTGGAAGATGAGGAGGAGCCTGTGACCTCCCTCCCAGGACGTCTGTCTGGCCCAGGTAATGGTGCATAGGTGGAGGAAGGGGCCTGGAAACCGATGAAGCTGAGACAGCCCTACAGAGCCCAGCTGCTGACCTTCTTGCCCCATCATTCCTTCACCCCTGATTGGGAAAGCAGCCCCAAACCATCCAAAACCAAATGACTCCTTCACTCTCTCGAGCAACCTTGCTCCTTCTCTACCCTAGCCTTTCTCTCTGGACCCAAGCACAACCCCTTGGCCAGAAGAGGCCCCTTGGGGTCCACACTCTGCCTGGCCATCATTCTCTGTGAAATCCCAAGCAAGCAACTTTCTCCTCCTAGGCTCAGGGCCCTGGTCTTTAGAATGAAAACCAAAACAGAACATGCTTGCAGGTGGGTTCCAGGACAAGGGTCTGCAAACCACAGCCATGAGGCCAAATCTAGCCCACTGCTTGTTTTTGTAAACGAAGTTTTATTAGAACAGAGCCATGCTGACCCCTGTTGGAGGAGGCCACTGAGCAGCCCCCTGCCCCCCAACCTGATTTCTCACTTCCCAACCTAAACTCTTGAGAATGCCTACAATAAGATAATCACAAAAACAAATATGTGAACAGAACAGAATCAACACTCTAATAGTCACTGCAGAGATTTTGATGTTTGGGGAAAATAAAACAGGAGCAAATAAACAAAAGGCATACCTATATTATTGTACGAACATTATTATATAGTGTGGTTTCCTCCTCATGGGCCTGTATTCTTCCACTCTAGGATAGGGTTTGGATTTGTTTTTGTTTTGGCTTTGCAGATCCGTTAAAACCTTCCCAAGACAAAAGAGTAATTTTTGTCCAAAGAGACGCCAGCTTCCAGAACAATTAAATATTCATTCATTCTTTTGGCAGCCACTCAGGGAGTACATCGAACACACAGTTCGATGACTTAGGCACATGATTTACATGAAATCCACTCATTGTGAGTGTGTAATTCATTGATTTTAGTAAATTTCTAGAGCTGTGCAACCATCCTCTTAACTCGTCGTACTCAAAGGTTCCCTCTTGACCATTTGAAGCCAATCCCTGCTCTCACTCCCGGCAATGCAACGCAGCACTGGATGGAACGGGTTGCCCTTGAAAAGCACAGCCCACAGGGGGAGACACATTAAACAAGTAAACAATGCTAGCGTGAAATGTGAGGAGAACTTGGGGAGAGAAGGGGAAAGTGCAGGCCTGTCTGCTGAGGTAGTACCTACGTTGGCTCCTGGAGCCTGGCGAAGGGAGGAAATGCACACTGGGCCCTTGAAAAGGCCCTGAGGTGGGACAGAGCTTGTCATTTTACAGTGATTACTGACAGTGTGGCCCAAGCATGGGGAATTAGGGGAAGAATGGTTCAAAATGAGGGCCGAGAGGTGGGTGGGGAGCAGAACCTTGTAGCACCCAGGTCAGTGCTGGAGTTCTGGAGTGCTACATAGGAGAGAGGCATGATCTACCTTGTGATTTGGGAAAGATTACTGTGGTTGCTCTTAGGAAATGAGAAGTATTGGGTCAAAAGTACAAGTGGGGAAAAGACTGTTGGAATGGTCCAGACAAGAGGTGACATGTCCTGGCAGTGGGGGTGGAAAGAAAGGCATGGATTCAAAAGACAGTTTGGACAATACACCCCTATCAGAATGGCTAAAGTTAAAAGTAGTGATAATACCGGGGCACCTGGGTGGCTCAGTCGTTAAGAGTCTGCCTTCGGCTCAGGTCATGATCCCAGGGTCCTGGGATCGAGCCCCGCATCGGGCTCCCTGCTCAGCGGGGACCTGGTTCTCCCTCTCCCACTCCCCCTGCTTGTGTTCCCTCTCTTGCTGTGTCTCTCTGTCAAATAAATAAATAAAATCTTTAAAAAAAAAAAAGTAGTGATAATACCAAATGCTGACAAGGATGCTGAGGAACTGGAGCATTCACACACTGCTGGTGGGAATGTAAAATGTTGCAGTCACTCTGGACAAGTTTGGCAGTTCCTTTCAAAACTAAAAATGGATTCACCATATGCTGCAGCAATTGCATTCTTGGGCATTTATCCCAGAGACTTGAAGACTTATTTCCATGCAAGAACTTGTATATACATGTTCAGAGCAGGTTCATCTGAAATAGCCAAATGGCCGCTCCTAGGAATCTACCCAAAAGAAATGAACATATATGTCTATACACACATCTGTATGTAAATGTTCCTAGCAGCATTATTCCTAATAGCCAACACTAGTAACAATCTAGATGTGAATGCATAAACAAACAGGAGTGTATCCATACCAAAAAAGAAACTAAATACTAATTACACAACAATATGGATGGACTCCAAACCATTATGCTAAGTGAAAAAAGCCAGACACAAGAAACGATGCACTGTAGGATTCCATTTATACGTAATATCCAGAAAAAACCTACAGACACAGAAAGCAGATTAATGAGGCTGAGGGTGGGACAGACTGGGAGTGGGGACTAACTTCATGGGGATGTGAGAGGACTTTCTGGGCTAATGAAAATGTTCTAAAATGGTTGTGGTGATGGTTGCACAACTCTATAAATGTCCTAAAATCATTGAATTGTAGACTTCCAATGGGAAAATTTATGAAAATTATAGCTCAATAAAGTGGCTTGAAAAAGATATACTTAGACATGACAGGAATTTGAAATATTAGTGACCCCCCTTCTTCCATCTGTTACAGTTTCGGGAACACAGGGATCCATCTTAGGGTCCAGGAGCACAGGAAGGGAGGGCGTTGTGCTTTCAGTATGAGAAGAATCCCCCAGCTGAAGTAGGGACAGAATTCTGAGCACAGGGATGGCAGGGGCAGGGGCGTGGAGGGCAGCATTGGGAAATGGCTCCTGAGGAAGAGGAATGGTGGATCCTGTTGTTCCTGGTGAGGGAGGAGGCTTCTGGCTGCAAAAGTAGAGGCTGGGTCCGTTGCCCTTTGGGGGACTGTCCTCGTGTCTTTGCTTTCACAGGCCCTTCTGCCTTGTTTCGAGCACAAAGATGCAGCAGAAAGGACATTTACCAGTCGCCTTTGGCCATTGACATCGAGAAGATGAAAACCACCCATCTCAAGGAACAGAAGGCATTTGCCTTCATCAGAGAAATCTTGGGTAGGCAACCAAGGTCACCCACAGCAGCCTCCCCACTCATTGCTTGTCAGCACAGACTTGAACAGACAATGGTGCAATCTTTGACAGACCCATGCTGCCTCTGGGCCTGTTTTCCAAATACCAACTCACCTCAGCTTCTCCCCTACACTTAAAATCCCTTGATGGCCCCACATGGCCCTTGATAAAATCCATACTTCCTACTGTTGCTCCACCTTACCCCTCGAGGCTGCTCACTACAAACATAGCCTTAAGAAATGGCTTGGGCAAAGCCCAGCCAGGACCTTGCATTCCTGGAATACCCAACATGATTGTGCATGGACATCCACAGCCCATGCAGACCGCCTCTCCCAGTACACTCTAGAGTTAGAGAGCCCTGAGTGTGAAACCCTGGCACTGCTCCTGTTAGCTGTGTGGCCCCAGGCAAGTTAGTGAACCCATGTGCACCTCAGTCTTCTCTAGGAACACAGGTAACAAACCCCCAAGGAGAACAACTGGCGGGGGTCCCCTGGGATTAAGGACAGGACAGGAATAGTCAATTTCAGCACAAGACGGGTCTTCCTGCCACTGCGACAACTGATATTCTCTCTTCTATACACCAGGCAGGACACAGACCCAGTGGGCACAGGGCATATTTTAAAATATGCCCATTACTATTGCTGCCAGTTACTATTACACACACACACACACACACACACACACACACACACACACACACACAGACATGCTATTGCATTTTCTCTTCACAATGTTCCCGAAGCACTGGTGGTAACACTATCATAGATGAGGAGGCTGAGTCCTGGAGAGGTTATCAGCTTGCCTACGAGGCAGTCAGGATTTGAACCCCAATCCCTCCAGCACATGCTCTTTCCACAACACCAGTGGACAGACCTCCAGAAACTGGTTTCATGTGAAATGCCAACCCAAGAGAGGTCTCTACTGCTGCTATTGCTGCCTGCTTAAGCCCCTGATTTTCTATGCGGTTCCTCTCACATGGTGGTCCTTAAACTTTAAAAAGTGTCACAATCCCCTGGAAGGCTCAGCAAAACACAGATCCCCCAAACACAGATCCCCCAGAGGACTTTGTTTCGAGAGATCTGAGGTAGGGACTGAGAATCTGCATTTCTACTGAGTTTTCAGATGATGTGGATGCCGGCAGTATGGGGACCACACTTTGAGGACCTCTTCTCTAACATCCAGGAGACCATGGGTGCAAAGACACTGCACCATTGGTGGGAAACTGTGATCACTCCCAGGAGCAGCTCCAAGGCCCTATGGCCCCGGGCATAGAGGGCAGAGAGCCACTGTAGTTGGAAATGTTCCTAATTAGCCCTCTTCCTACAGAATTCTCCAGTACCTCTTTGACAACACCTGGCTGGACAGACTGACCAGAGCCGTTTTTGTGGAGTTCATTGTTTACAACGCCAACGTCAACCCGTTCTGCATCATCCCTCTGACCCTGGAGACTAGCGCCCTGGGTGGGCAGCCTTGCCTGTGACCCCGTCTAGAATGTTCTGAAGACAGACTCCCCTCCCTCTGGGTCAGGCCTCCTGACCAGGCTGGGCCTCGCTGCCCCGGGGCCAGAGTTCTGGAGCCAGTGGTTGTTTGGGAGATTTGGGGGTGGGTCTTGGTTCTCCCTGGGCACCCAAAGGCCAGGTTCCAGGGCTGCTCCAGCTTTATTCCTAGTTGCCTCTACTTCTCTCTGGCCTGTCTCCCAAGATACCCTGAGGGAACCCAGTTGGAGTCTGAAGGCAGCTCATCACCCTGAGCTTCCTGCTCTGGGGAAGGCAGGCTGGGGAGAGGGTGACCTGGTAACAAATAATTTCACCTAAAACAACATTTTACAACTTGTACCTCAACCTACAGGACAAAGTACATTTTACATTATTTTCCAACATACACACACAAAGATACATAACTGAGACAAAAGCTTCAAAAATATATTCCTTCACTATATGCAATATACTCTGATAGTTTGTGTTCTGTTCCATTTCTTTCTCCCCAATTCCCGCCTTCCTCCCCTTTTAACGCTATCAAAATCTATTGAAAACACTGACCCAAAGCTTCCTCAGCTGATAACGAATTTTCCTAAAATTCAACCACCTCTCCTTTAAAAATTAAGCCATTTTTAGTATCAAATTACATTTTTAATAGAGCTAATACATGCCTGTAGTTCTTTAAATTTCAGAATAGTGGAAAGAAAAGAAAAAGGCCTTCAACTTTCATGATCACTGGCCATTGTCAAGTGCTTCTTTTAAATCCTTTTGTGTGTGGGGGGGTATTTGTATCCTTGTGTTCTACTTCTTTTTGCCACCTTTGTGGTTCTTAGGGACCAATTAAGCAGCCTGTCCCCAAACATATCTGACTAAATTATGTGTTTCTACAAATGAGAAATGAGGATTGGGTTTCAGGTCTGGTTGGTTCAAGCAGTCCACTGATATTGGCAAGGACTCAGGTTGTTTGTGTCTCTCCATTCTGACCTTCTCGGGGATGGCTTTGTCTTCAGAGGCGGTAGCCTTATCAAACTATTTTTTTTAATCATTACTAAAATATCATTACAATACTCCCCCCCAAAATAAGACACATAAATGGATGAAAGAGGATTCAAAAGAAGGCTGAATTTTAGGCATACGGGTCAATAGATGAATTGATCTTCAGTGAACTCTCTTTAGGTGAACCAGCTTTAAGTGAGCCAGCCTGGAGTAAATGAATGTTCAGTGAGTGGTGTGATTTGGCTGGAGGTGACTGAGGGCACAAATGGCTGACACCAGATGCAGAGGATAGGGAGTGGCTCTTCCAGTTCAGCTTCCTGGGTCCCCTCTGATATGTCCATTATCTTTGACATCCACTATGTGTCCAGTCTCTTGGGTCTGTGGGTCTGAAGGACCTTTATCTTCTCTTCTGCCCTGGCCAGCCCTCAAAATGCCTGAGTTTTCATCATGCCACTGATGACTTCTGGTCAGAAGTGGTGGCTCTGAGCGGGTGGGTGACCAGGAGTAAGCAGAACATGTTTTACTTCCCAGGAACCTTCTTTGCACATATGAGCCTGCAGAGCCTGCGCCTGTACCCCTTCACTGATGGCTGGCACCCCTTCGTGCTAGCAGCAGAGGCCATCTACCTCCTGTTCCTCCTCTACTACATGATTTTGCAGGTGAGGTGTAGGCTATGGCTCCATGGGATAGAAGCAGCAGTGTGCCTGTCCCCTCTCACACACGTTCCCCAGAGTGAAGCCTCAAGAAAGGAGAGGGGAGTGTTCTGCTAACCTGTTTGCCATGGCACCCTTTTGGTCCTTCTGCAGTCCTGAGGGCTGACCCAGATCAGGGACCAGCTTTCAGCACCTCTCAGGAACTGAGACTCAGAGGGTAGTCCTTCCTGGGTGGGGAAGGGAGAGGAACTGAGACCTTCCAAAAATTTCAAAGGTAGCTGGCAGTTCACCTGTGGTCCCTGGGAATTAGGAAAAAAATCCCCTCTGCCAACTTTAAATAGCACCATGTTGCAAAACGAAGGTGCCGATGTTGATAATGACGGTGGTTTGAGGAAGCTGGGAACTCATTTGAAGCTTGGTACATACCCCCGCCCCTGCCCCACCAAAAATGCAAATCAGACATCTTGAAAGGGCCTCCCCATCCCCTGCTCAAGAGCCACAACAACCACTTTGAAGTAAGGATGATACTTTGATTGTTTACCACGTGACAGACATTGTGCGAAGAACCTTGAATGGATTTTCTCCTTTAACACCAGGAGAAAGTTTCTATTGGCTCCACTTCACAGAGTAGGAAGCTGAAGCCCTTCACAGAGTAGGAAGCTGAAACCTAAAGAGACATTAAGTAATTTATCCAAGGCCAAAATTGAATCCAGAAAGTGTGACCCCTGAACTCGACACTCAACCCCTCTGTCGTACCTCAGACTCATAAACCTCGATCCCATGGGGCCTCTGAGCATCACCATTGCAAATCCAACAGGGAACAGTCATCAAGTAGCAACCTAAGAACATCAAAGGAGGTCCATCCACCACCCACCCCCCGGAGCTCACTCCTCCCCTCCGGATTGCCCTCACCCTCTGCCTGCAGCTGCCACACAACGCTTCTCTCCAAAGCCCTTACATCTTTCTCAAAATGCCACTTAAGCAGTTCTTAAAATCTTCCGCCATCTCCATCCCTTTATAATGGAGGCAAACTTTAGCCTCTTAGCAGCCAAACACAAATCCATTCTCCATAAGAGTAGTGAGGAGGAGGGAAATAGAACAGAACAGTAGGAAGATTCTCTTTAGCGAGAGGGAAAAACAGGAGGGAGGCCTAGAACTCGCACAGCGTAATTCCTTTCGACGTGTGACACCCAATGGGGAAAGAGGATTAAAAACAGTCTCCTGCCAATCTAGAAAACCTCTCCACAAAGGTAGGAAAAAAAAACTACTTTAACAAAATTACTCATTTTTAATTGTGGTAGATAAATATATATAACATAAAATTACCACTTTAAACATCTTTAAATGTACAGCTCAGTGGCATTACGTACATTCACATTGTCGTGCAACCATCACTACCATCCATCTCCAGATTTTTTTCCCTCTTACAAAACGGAAACCGTACCTGTTAAACGGTAACTCTCCACTTCCCCCTAAAAAAACAACTTTTCTTATTGAATAAGCATGACACTAGACTGTGATGCACATCCCAGGCAATCCACTAACAGATTCCAAAGACAGAAAGGAGTCTCACCCTTGCATTGCCAGTCAAATAGGACCCATTTTATATACATCCTTAAGATAAACAGTAATTAATCCTCAAGAGGATTTATGGAATCATCTGTCCCACTAGTCCACCCTAAATTCATCCGGTAATTGGGGTGGCCACTTGTGTTTGCTAACTGCCTTTATCAAAAGGAAAAATAAATGTACATGTTCACACTAGGAGGTAATTTTGCAACCTGGAGCCAGGGGCCTACCATTTGGCTTTTACCATCCCAGGGAAACTGGGAGTGAAGGGCACTACCTTCTTTCCTTTGTGTTCCCACTTCAAAGAGAAAGCTCCCAGGTCCTTTAGAAAAACATTCCTGAGGCTAGTTTAACTTTCAAAAAGATTTATATATGTCTCAAAGAGGCAGAGAAAGATTTCACAAAGTTTTCTAAAGTAAATGCTCTATGAAAGGTGGGGGGTTCTTTCCCATTCCCCAATTTTTTGCATCGGAGATAAATGTTTTTCTTGTTAGATGCTGTATTTACTCTTATGTACCCCCAAATTCTGCAGCCCAAGTTGGTAATGAAAGCAGAGCGGGGGCTGTGCACAAGACAGGGGAGAGGCCCCAGGCACTCTATGGCTTCTTTATTGAGAAGCCTCTCCAGGATACAGTAGGCCCCTGCTGGAGGGTCATCTTGAGGGGTTTGGAGAGCCATGGTGGAAGGGGTAGGGAGGCACAGTTCTGGCTACAGCATTTGGTAGAACCTCCAGCTCCTTTCCTAGGGCAAGCTCATGAGGAAACAGAGGTGGTGCTATTTCCATAGCAAGTGAAATCTTCTGGAGCTGACCATCATCCTGGCCAGCTGGAGTGCCCTGGCGATGTTTGTGAAGAGGGCCATCCTGGCAGAACGTGAAATCCAGTGCTACCGGAACCATGGGGAGGAGTAAGTGGTTCTGCCTTGGCCCCCAACTCCCACACTAGACCTGCTTCCTCCAGCTCTGTGGCCCCAGGGTTGGGGGGGGGAGAACCCCCCCCTAAGGTGTGGGTTGAAATCTTGTTGACCTTCAGATCACCAGGGTCACTCTTTAAAAACATAACTATAGGGCACCTGGGTGGCTCAGTTGGTTAAGCGACTGCCTTCAGCTCAGGTCATGATCCTGGAGTCCTGGGATTGAGCCCTGCGTCGGGCTCCCTGCTCAGCGGGGAGTCTGCTTCTCCCTCTGACCCTCCCCCTCTCATGTGCTCTCTCTATCTCATTCTTTCTCTCAAATAAATAAAATCTTAAAAAAAAAAAACAAAAAACATAACTATAGCTACCACTTAGATTCAGGTTTGCGGCCTGACACATCTGCAGTTGAGAGGGCTCTTTAATACAAAATAGAACAATATCTTACTTTTGCAAATCTTACCAAAAAATAAGACCATGTGACACCCTGTGAAGGTCCCTTCCCCAAAGATGTAGTAGCACACCAGTCTGCCTACATCTGCTACTGTTTACATAAAGTGTCCACTCTGCTAGACCAAATGCACTAGCCCACCAGATGCTTGCAAGAATCCACCGCGGTAGATGTTGTTACTACCCGGACATGGGTTTGCCTCTTGGTGGGTGTCGAGCCAAAAGACAAAAGACAAAAGACCAAGCCAAGAGAGTAGGAAAAGGAAGAATTTTACTTGCAACAAGTAAAGGAGAACACCGAGGATCTTTCCCAAAGCAGTGTCTCCCCAAACCACAAAATTGGGGAAGTTTTAAGGTAAGGGTGAATACATACTCAAAAGGGCTTGTGTGCACAATGGGGAATACAGCATGACATTGGGGCAGAAGTCATCTAAGGGTAACTGAGTCCAGGTGGAAGTCACTAGGGCTGGCAAAGTTCAGCATTATCATTTCCCTGGCTTTAGCTGGTCTGGTATCTGAGTACTCAAGGGGGTTTAGATCCTGCAACGAGAACTTAAGAATGTACATCAGGTCAATCTTGGCTTTGTTTTAGCACAGATTGTCCCTGATATGATCAGACTATCTCCTGGCCTGATAATGGCTGTTTTATTCTTACATTCATTCACAAGATGGCTGGGGGCCTAAAATGACTTCCTATGTCAAGAAAGCTAGGTCTTTCTGTTTCTGGGGACCCCTAACTCTTTCTGCTTACATTAACAATATTCCATTTTACAAATAAAGGAATTGAAGGGATGCTTGGGTAGCTCAGTGGGTTAAGCATCCGCCTTCGGCTCAGGTCATGATCCCGGGATCCTGGGATCGAGTCCCACATCTGGCTCCTTGCTCAGTGGGGAGCCTGCTTCTCCCTCTGCCTGCTGCTCTCCCTGCTTGTTCTCTCTGACAAATAAAAACATACATACATATATACAATCTTTTAAAAAAAAAAAAGGAAAGAAATTAAAGCTCACAGAGGTAACTTCCCCAAGCCACAGAGCTAAAAGGTGGCAGAGACGTAATTTAAACCTAGCTTATGTGAGGGGCTCAGTCAGTACAGCATGCAACTCTTGATCTTGGGATTGTAAATTCAAGCCTCATGTTGGGTGTAGAGATTACCTAAAATAAAATCCTTAAGGGGTAACTGGCTGGCTCAGTCAGTAGAACATGCGACTCTTAATCTCAAGATCATGAGTTTGAGCCCTATGTTGGGTGTAGAGATTACTTAAAATCTTAAAATTTGTTTAAAAACCCCAAAAACCTAGCTTGTGTGTCTCTAGGATCGCAATCCTTACTTCAAACCATTGTGTTTCTTGACTCACCCACTAATTTTATTGATATGGATAATATTTATTCATTCTTGGATGCTGTACACTGTTATAAAAACATCACTTTAAAAGCATTATTTCATCTACTTTAATCTTCCCCAAATTTCTGAAAGATAGAATTATGAACATCTTTTTTTTTTTTTTTACAGATAAGGAGTTGAGGCTCAGAAAGGATGTCTGTCCAAGGTCAGAGAATTTGGAAATGGAAATGCAGGGCCTGTAATTTGAACTCTGCATTCCTAACCTATACCCTAGGCTGGGTCATTTAGCTCACAGACCTTCACTGAGCTCTAAATGGCATGAGAGAGGGTTAGGTATTTTAAAAGAGGCAGGAAAAAGGTGCTGCAGGGGCCAAAGGAGGAAGCAGCCATCCATACCAGCAGCCCCAGTCTGCTCAAAGGGAAGGAAGATTCTGGAAGGCAGGAGATTAGGTAGAAGGGTAGCTTTCATTCAGGCATTATAAATGTATATTAAATGCTTTTACAAACTTGAGATCGTGTAATTTTTTTCCATAATGATGAAGGAGAGTTGGAAGAAAGGCAGGCAGGGACAAGGGGCCCCACCCTAAGAGGAAATCACCTTTAAAAGGATTTTACACCACCCTGGAAGGAGCCCTCCACCCTTTCCCACTGATGGATGACAAAAACCTGATTGGATGACAGGAACATGGAGGGTTCCTCAGATTAAAACAGCTGACAACAAGCCCATAAAGACCCCTAGACTTAGAAACTCCAGTGGCAAGCCTCTCAGGGCCCCTCCCTCTTCAGGAGCTTTGTATTATCACTTTACTATTGCTTAATAAACTTTGCTTTGCTGCCCACCACTCTTCGTCTGGTCTACCTCTTCATTCTTCTAAGTGGTGTGGTCAAGAATCACAGGCACCAAGGGAAAAAGGAAATCCTTTAACAATAACCTCTTCTCCATCTATGTCACCAGATATAGGTCTACTCCATTTTACTTTTTTCTTTTTTTTTTTTTATGTAGGCTCCATGCTCAGCATGGAGCCCAACATGGGGCTTGAACACATAAGCCTGAGATCAAGACCTGAGCTGAGATCAAGAGGGGGACGCTTAGCCGACTGAGCTGCTCAGGCACCCTTAGTTCTATGTCATTTTAACAATACACCAATATTAAGACTGAATTAAAAGTGCAAATACAGGAAGTGAAGGGAATGAAGGGCAGGGTGGGAGGGCAGGAAGGACCCAGACTTTGGAATCAGACATGCCTGGATTCCAACTCTCATCCTTTCACCACTAGGTAGGTCACTAGCTCTGTGACCTTGTGCCAACTCTTCGTCCTTATCGGTAAAACAGAGACAGCAATACTTACCTCATCCAGTGGTCTTGAAGGTCAGTTGAGACAATGCAGTTGAGGTTTATTAGGTCCTTACTTAGCACAGAAAGTGAGTGATACTTCCATCCTTCCTTCAAATGCAAGAGCAGTGCAGACATACACTCAAGACAAGTGTGAGGGACGATGTGGCATCTAGGGAACCCAAGCCAGGAGAGGAGGCTCACAGAATGCCCTCACTTCCATCCTCTTGACACTGGGAGGATTTCCATAGCTCTGCAGCCATTAACCAAAAATGCTAGGAAATGGTCCCATGACTACCATCAACATCATCATCCCTATCATAGGCATCATCTTCACCATCATTCTTACCACCATCACCATCAGCCCTATCATTATCACCATCATCACCACCACCATCACCTCCATCATCATTATCGTCATCCATATCATAACCATCATCACCACCATCACCATCATCACCAGCTCATCATTACCTAGCTGGGGAGATTGGACCAGTTCTATCTCCCAGACCTACTGTGGGAAGTGATGGCCTCTGAGATCATAATAAATCTAATCCTGCATCCTGGGCTGAACTGAGGCCAAATGAGCTCTGGCTGAGCTTCTCATAGTCTCTGAGGCCCAGTCTCCCGTTTTGGTCCCACAGGGGTATCAGTTTCAGTGAGACAGCAGCGGCTGATGCTGCCCTTGGCTACATTATTGCCTTCCTGGTGTTGCTGTCCACAGTGAAGCTTTGGCATCTGCTCAGGTTGAACCCCAAAATGAATATGATCACTTCAGCCCTACGCCGTGCTTGGGGGGACATTTCAGGCTTTATCATCATCATCCTTATCATGCTTCTGGCTTACTCCATTGCAGTGAGTGGCTCCTTCGGTGAAACCTTCAGGGCTGGTCTCCTTGGAAGCACAGGCTTCTCAGTGGTGGGGGGCTGAGGGTTAGGGTAAGAAGACTTTGGTACCTGAGGGAGATGGTGGAGCTTCTGAGTCCAGGGCTTTTTAGATGGGAGCTCATAAACTGGCCACCCCAAATGGCAAAGGCTGGAGACCTCAGTTGGGTAAGAGTGAGGGGGTATAGTCTCTAAGGCAGAAAGGGCTGACTACCTCCAATAAAGGATTCCTTTCTGTATCCAGACCCTGCCTGGATGTGTCAGTTCTCCTAAGATCCCAATTGCGCAGACATGCACAGAACATTCCCTCTGTGTTGGGGGATGTGGAGATGAATTGGGCAGAGAAGGGGAAGTGAGGACAGACACATCTGTAGACTATGTCACTGCTCGATGCCTTACACATGAGGCATGAACTTAATAGGGCCAAAAATCATTTCATTCAGTCCCTTGACACTGAGAGCTTTTTGGCAATCACATCTCTTTTGTGAATGAAAAAAATATTGCGTTATCAACTCTTTTATTATCAATTAATGTGGGAAACAAAGACCCTCTGCCAAATTTTGATCTCCATCTAAATACGCCCCCATCCTCTCCAAGTCCACATTCCCCAGAATACCATGGCTCCCACTCCTCTGTGACCCTTCACCCAGTCCTGACCCACTCCCTACCCCAATCCCTCTCCCAGTTCTTGCCTTGGCCCATCCAGCCTCATATTCCATCATCCCTGACCTCCATAGCACCCAGTGGTCCCTCTTATCCCAGTCCCACTCCCTCTCTAACCCTTTCCACATTCCTCCTCCTCTTCCTGTGCCTATCACCTCAACCCTGACTCCCTACTCTCTGACCCTACTCCATCTTCTTCTCTCCCCCTGAGAAATCGGGTGAGGTGAGTTGATGCAGTGATGGAGGGCATATGCTAAAAAGCTGAAGTCTGATTTTATAAAAAATTCTCCACCCGACCCCTCAATTCAAATGGATTTATTCAGTCCTCCATCTGCAGTGCAGGAGCTGCAGGGATACTGCAGTGTCCTCTGGGACCAGAAGTCACCAACTCAGAGCCAAGGGAGTGCTGGGCCTGCCTGACACAATAGTGGAAATCTTTGGGGGGAAGGGTGCTGTGGTGAGGAGGAACTCATCAATGGTGGGGGGCGGGTAAGGCCCTGTCCAGGCAGAAGCCTGATGTTATCCAACCCAACTCCCCCAGAGCAAAGGTTAGGGCCTCAAAGAGCCCAGTTTCATCACTGAGTCTTAGAGCAGTCATCTGAGTGAACACAATAGTGCCTGAGCCCCCAAAGTGCGTATGCATCCCTTACAGAACTGGGTATGTACATACACCCACTTGCAAGCCCCTGTAGGTACCAAAAGTAGGTACAGCCAGGCCAAGGATGTGGCTGACCCAGAACACTGTCTCTGCTGTCAAACAATAGGCATTGGGCGTGGGGCGGGGAGGTCACTTGGTTTCTTTCTCTGTTCACGAGGACTCTTTCCATAACAGTCAAACTTAATATTTGGTTGGAAACTCCATTCCTACAAAACCCTCTTTGATGCAGCAGAAACGATGATCAGCCTTCAGCTAGGAATCTTTAACTATGAGGAGGTAATGGGGTGTGGTGTGGTGGGGGTGGGGGACATAGACACTGCCATCTACACCAAGCCTTTATGAAAATTAGAAAAAGCACCCTCCTGAAATGCCTCCTCCTGGGTGAATGTTACCCCTTGGGTCCATGGCTTGGTAAGCACAGGGCAACTTTGGACAAATAAAATTGTTTCCCTTCCTCTAGGCAGACAGCCCCATACTAGGGCCCATAGCTTGCCCTGGGGACCCCAGCTTATGGGAGAACAACAGGCACTGGCTACTCAGGAGAGGGCTGTGCTGGGAGGTCTCTAGAAGGGAATGCTCCTGGCCCTAGCCAGGAATGGTAGCCATATTTGGAAATGGTGGCAGTAGGGAGTAGGGGATGCGGTCCTTTTTCTCTCCTAGCAGCTCTTGAGAGCACTGCCCGGCAGAAGGGGACCTTCCTGGTCCCAGGCTCTGCCTAGTCTGGGAACCAGTTTTCCCTCAAAGGGTGCCTAGGGGAAGTGGCCATTAGGGCACAGGACTCCTGGGGGTGACTGGCTTTCTTCCCCACAGGTCCTAGACTACAGCCCAGTGCTTGGCTCCTTCCTGATTGGGTCTTGCATCATTTTCATGACATTTGTGGTGCTGAATCTATTTATCTCTGTCATCCTGGTGGCCTTCAATGAGGAGCAAAAATATGATCAGGTGAGTCCCTTTAGCCTATTTTTCAACAGTCACTGACCTTGAACTAGGAAGAGACTGAGCAGCATTAGACATTAAGGGGATGTGAGAGACCACTGTAGCCCAAAGCCCTCATTTCATGGCGGGGGGGGGGGGACAGGTGCAGAAGGAGGAAATTACTTCCCTAAGATGCCAAGCAAATGAAGAGCAGACTAGAATCAGGTCTCCTGATTCCCAAGGTGGCACTCCCACTCATGACCACAGTAATTCTCAGCCTTACTTCTACATTAGAATCATGTGGGGGCTTTTGGGACGTCTGCTGCTGCACTGAGACCAATAAACACAAAACCCCTGGGGGGAATGAGTCAAACACCGTTATTTTTGAAATCTTCCCACGTGATTTTTATACACAACCAAGTCTGAGAACCTGTTAAAAAATTATTAAAGCAGATAACTTAGGTGATATAAACTTTAACACTTCATGAAGTGGACACTCTCCATTCAGAGAAGTACAAAGGGGGTGGAAGGCAGGAAGCTTTTACAGGATAAATAATAAAGAACAAGGAAGAGGAAAAAAATATATATATCTGATTGGCTAGGGCTGCACAGTCAACCTTGTTTGGGGAGAGACAGAAAAGAAAGTAAGTATAGAGCCCAGAGGTCACTTGGTGTCTGGGGACCGGCTGAACTGATATACTGAATTTTGGGCAAGGAAGCATTTACAGGGACACAAAAGTTCTGTAAGCTTCGGTTTGCTGTCATGGCATGCCAGGCAGGAGCAGCTCCATCTTGGGCCTGGAAATTTATTTCAACAAGTCATATGGTAACTAGTTTAAATTTTGAGAAGCCAGCAAACGATTTCCCAAAGTGGCTGCACCATTTCGCTTTCCCAGCAGCAATGCACAAGGGTCTTTGCACATAAATTCCTAAGAGCCTCCGTTGGGGGTGGTAGAGGGAATTTTATTCTCATCACAGGGGAAGAAGGGACCTCCCGGGGATAAAGGTGGGAGCATACACCCTTGGGATGCCCAGAAGAAGGGGACTCCCAACACAAAATTGGCTCTAAATACTCAAGTGACTTTGGCAGAGACCAAATTGGACAATAAAACCATGGTTTCCCCTTAGAAAGAAAGAGCAGCCCCCAAAGAGGATGGTTCTATGTACATCACATGGTTCTTTTTCCCTCTTCAGCTGTCGGAGGAAGGAGAGATTGTTGATTTGTTGCTGATGAAAATACTCGGTTTCCTGGGTATTAAATGTAAAAAAGAGGAGCCTGGAAACAGCAGTGAGCAGCCCAAGTAGCGGTCAGAGGCCTGGTCCCCTCCACCTGTACCAGCTGCACCCAAGGGTTAAGGTCTTCATCTACACATAAGCATCTGTAGAGGGGGGAAGGCCAGAGCCTCAGACCTATGTTTATTGGTGATTCTACAGTCTCTCTGTATGTTTTCCTGTGTGCATAGAAAAGTCACCAAGCCTGGCAAGTGAAAAAGTAAGAAAAATATATATACAGATATGTGCGATTGCCACTACTGTAATAGACTGTTTGTTCAAATGTATTTCGTTCTAGAAATAAAACAAATATTGTCTGGAGTTTGGGAAAAATAATCTCTATGGACTATTTCATCTTCTTGGTTGGTGAGGGGTTGCTTCTGAATGATTCTAGTTCAGGGTTTCTCAAACTGTGTCCAAGAGATATTAATGGCTACAGTTGCCAGAACAAAGTACCACAAACTAGGTGGCTTAAAATACCATATATTTATGGCCTGCATTCTGGAGGACAGAAGCCCAAAATCAAGGTGTCAAGGGGGGCACGTTCTCACCAAGACTCTGGAGAAGAGTCTTCTCTTCCAGCTTCTGGTGTCCTTTGGTGTTCCTTGGCTTGAAGATGCGTCATTCTAATCTCTGTGTCGTCACATGGCCTTCTTCCTTGTGTCTGTCCCTGTGTTTCTCTTCCTCTTATAAGTTGTCTAGTCATACTGGGTTGAGGGCCCAACCTACTCCATTATGACCTCATCTTAACTAGTTACATCTGCAACAACCCTATTTCCAATTTTGATCACATTTTCAGTATTGGGGGTTAGGACTTCAACATATCTCTTTAGAAAACAAAATTCAACGTAACAGGTGTCATTCCCTCAGAAATGTTTCTGAATCAAATAAATGTGAGAAACACATTTGTATAAAAGATTATACAATTCTTTGGTATGGGAATTTTTAATATGCTAAACGGGCACTGTAGTCTCCTGGGATGAGATGAGCACAAGAGATAAAGTGTATAATGACTCCCAAACCTTTCTGCCCCAGGCATCCAATACTGCAGCACCTCAGTCAGAGCTAGTGTTCCTTAGATGATACTTTGGGAATTGCTGATCTACACCAGTGGTTCACAACCTTGGCTGCATGCTAGCATCCCCGGACTTCATTCCAATACATCAGAACCTCTGGGCTAGGACCCAGGCAACAATAGTTTTAAAGCCTCCCCAGGTGATTCCAATGCACAGTCAGACTTGATAACCATGCTCTAAATTCTGAGAACCACAGATCTAGATTATAAAAGGCTTTCAGGTGTCTGTGTGGATAAGGGCACATTTCCCCTCCCCCATGCAGGGGACACACCTCCCATATCCTCTCCAGCTCACCCGTCTGGTCCCTCCTCCTCACATACCTTCGGAAACATCCTCTAGGCTGCCTGCCTGGTTCCATCCCATATTTTCTTCCTTGCTGTCAGAACTCAACTTCATTCAGGTAGACCTCTACCCCTTTCCCACATGACTCATGGGAAGGTTACCCTGTAGCTACCTAAGGTAAATACTGATTTGTCTTAGTAATAATAATCCATTTCCCTTGATGTGAGGATTTTAGGGTAGTCACATGACCCAGTTCCGGCCAATGAAAACTGAAGTCCCCAGGACACTTCCTGGAAAGGTCTACTTGCTAATAAAAAGAGACACATAGACATGGGGTCTTATGCTGCTAGATATTGTCTGGTCTGAACAAGACTTCTGGAACTTTGGCAGCTACCTTGAGACCATGGGGAGCAATCCGAAGCAGAGCAGAAAGATGAGAGGAACATGAATGCTTGATGACTGACTTAATCAACCCTGGAGCTGAACTACTGTCTTCTATCTGGATGAGAGCCTCAATGTTTTTTTATGACAGGTGAATCCGCATCCCGCCCTGACCAAAAAAACAAAAAAACAAACAAACAAACAAAAAACCACACCCAGGATCCTTTATAAAGAGCCACACAACATTGAACATACACAAAACCTTGGGGATTTCATCATCTTCTATCCAACCAAAAGCCCATCATCTATTCTTTATTGTGTCATGTATGAACAGGAGTTACATGTGCAGAGATGTTCATCAAATAACCCATGGCAAGGTGTACACACATGTCCCAATAAACTGGTACAGAGACCTACCCAGATATGTACAGTCTGGGTTTTTTTTTTTAAGATTTTATTTATTTATGAGGGAGAGGTGGAAGGGGAGGGGGAGAGCGAGGGAGAGAGAATGAGCCAGGGTATAGGCAGAGGGAGAAGCAGACTCCTTGCTGAGCAGGGAGCCTGACTCAGGGCTCAATCCCATGACCCCAGGATCATGACCTGAGCCGAAGGCAGACGCTTAACCAACTGAGCCACCCAGGTGCCCCCATACAGTCTCTTTTAAATAGGAAAAGTTCTAAGATCTGGAGAAGTTGTAAGTTCTTCATCTCTCTCATCTTTCCCATCTACTCTCCACTCCTTTACTGACTGTAAATACCAAATTGGCAACTCCTTCAATTATAGTTATGAGAGAAAAAAAAAGTTTAACAAGATGAGTGCGCCCCTTCTGAGACACCTGAAAGAAAACACCACATGCAATTTTCAGGTGTCTGTACCAAATGTGCTATGAGATGACCTTTCAAATCTCAAGCCATGGATGTTACAAAGATTATCAGTTATGAAAAAAAAATTTTTTTATTATCCTAATGCTTATTAGATTAAAAAAAATGACACATTTCCTATTGTTTTGGTGGAAGGGCATGTGATATGGTCCACAGACTGATATGTGACCTTGTTCTTCCCACCAAATGCATTAGTCGAGCTGGAAACAAATATTTTAGGGAATGGTTTGCAGTATGCTATGTTGGCTTATAATGAAACAACAATAAAACAGCACATTGACATTGAAGCTAGCCAAGATCTGGAGTTTGGAAAAGACCACTGTGAGCCAGTCAGCTTCCCAAATGGAGGCACAAAGAACAGAACTTAAGAGAAGTTGACTGTGAATCCGATTAGAGGTCAAGTCCTGCTACTGCCACCTAATAGCTGCTTAAGTTATAAATGCTTTCCTCATTCTACTCTTGGGCAAGTCATTTAACCTTTCTGAGCCTCTAGTTCCTCACCTATGAAATGAAAGTAATACCTATCAGAAAGCGGTTTGGAGATTAAAAAGGTAATGTTTGGGGCACCTGGGTGGCTCAGTTGTTAAGTGTCTGCCTTCCTCTCAGGTCATGATCCCAGCCTGCCTTCTCCCTCTCCAGCTCCCCCTGTTGGTGTTTCCTCTTTTGCTGTCTCTGTCAAATAAATAAATAAAATACATAAAAAGGTAATGTTTGCACAGACCCTGGCACATACCAAGGGAAAGGAAAATGGAGCATGACAGCCCTTGCAAGCCACTGCACAGATGTGCTGACAGTGCCCCTTTTATGAGTGGGGTGGAAGATCACTGTAACAACATGAATCTCCCAAACATCCCTGCACACACTCACATCACTTTAAGTTGCCCACCCTGTAATAACGAGGATGTGGAGCTTGATGTGTTTTTCACTCTGGTGTTTCTTTGCTGATTCCTGCCCACTCCATAAAATTTGTGTTGAAGGTGAGGTCTTTCCCAGAACTTAATTATTTTCTGTCTCCTTGGATGGGAAACATGATTTCTGCTTTTCTCAAAAGGCCTTGGTCATGGGCTGGCTACTTAAACAAGGAAGTGACCATGCTGGGCTTCATCTTTGCCTTTTGATTACTCCTGCATCAGCCGACTGGCTCCCACCCAGTGTCCAAGGAGACATTCCCGATCCTCAGACAAGTCCTTGCACCCTCTACGAGGTTCATGATTCTGTCTGTCCCGTTTGGTGTACCCAGGCCTCTTGGGATCTGTAAAGTAATAAAGTGGGTTCCTGGATTGTTTCCAGTATTTTGAAATATCAAAGAGAAACTGTGTCAGAGCTCCTATGGCCAATGCCCAACAACCCGCTTTGTTTGGAATGACTCAGTTTAGATCTGGCTATGAACCCTGCTCTGGGTGACCTTGATCCTCTGTAGAAGGAGGGGAAGAGTATCCTTTAACAGGACTAGGGGCACTACCTTCCCGGGGACCGCAGGGACCCAACGGCACAGGAACGCGCTCCCGCGAAGCCATCTCTGCCGGGAACCCCCTCAATACCCCGGGGCGTCTCCCACACTAGCAAAGCTGGAGCTGCTGACCTTGCACTTTCACTAGCCGTAAAGCGACTCCGGGGAACGAGGTCCTGCCCCGCCCCGCGCCGCACCGCAGCCCCCGACTCCTACCAGCTACTGCGCTAGGCCCCGCCCCTCACCGCCTGCTCCTACCGGGCCGCAATTCGGCCGCATATCCCCGCCCCTCTCGCTCGCGTCGCCCTATCCGAGGCCGCGCCCGGCCTGGAGTCCCCGCCCCCGCCCCACAAAGCCCCTCCCCCATGGCCCGGACCAGCCGGCTCGCTCCGGCTCGCTCCGGTCTGGGGCCGCCTCCGCCCCGCCCCTGCCCCGCCCCTGCCGGCTGGGGTTCCCGAGTCCCTTGTACCGCGACCCCCGCACGTTTGTGAACATGGCGCTGCGAGCGGTGCGGAGCGTGCGGGCTGCGGCCTGCAGTCTGCGCGTCGCCTCCGCGCCCGCCGCACCGTGCCTGACGCGGCCCTGGGGGCTGAGGGCGGGCGCCGTCCGGACACTGCGCACGGGCTCCGCTCTGCTCTCCGGTAAGCGCGCGGGCGGGCACGTGGGGGAGAGCCGGGCTGCTTGGGGCAACAGGGCTGGGCGCCTCCCTCCCCGGGTCGCTGCTTACCTCGAGTCCCCAGTGCTGACACCCGGGTCAGGCGAGGCGACCCCTGCCCACGCTTCTTTCTACTGCTGGGATCCCTAGTTGCGTGGCCGACACCGCAGCCTTTGTCCTGAGGGTTGGGGAGCCAGGAGGAGGAAGCCTGGACTACACGCGCGACTGCCAAGTGCGAGCTCGTTCCACGGGAGCGCCGGCCGCTCGCTGCTGGAGAACCGTGCAAGCGTCGCTAAGCTCCTTCGCGACCTTAGGTTATCCCGCGTGTGTGTGCATCGTGGGCCCTAAAATTGGAGACATGGTAGGCTTTAGTTTGCTACATGGACTGTCACTGAGAACTCTAAAGTAAAATTATAGAGCGCTTAATGTAATTAAAGCACTGGGGCTAGATTTTTACTAGCAAAAGTGAGCATAACTTGGAACATTTGGCTGTTTCCTACAAACAGTGAGATAAAGTCTTTGGGACTCTTACATTCTACTAAAACCTATATTGAGTCATGGATGTGTTGGGACAGAAATGAGGCCTCATACGGACATGCAATTAAAATAACTGGGGGCCCTGCCCACAAATGTCTTGGTCATCTGTGCTACCATACTTCAGCACAGTTATCACCTCAGAAAAAGTTTTCTTACTGCGTGCACAAATGATTGAGATGCTAATGCACCTCCAAGAACTCAGGCTTCTTTCTTAGGGGTGCATAAGCCTGTGATGGCTGTTGTCGCGTTAAGTTCACTGTCTTAGAAACCTGTTTGGGAATGGAACACTTGACATTTATTCCAGTCTGAAACATAAAGATGCTTCTCTTCCGTTGCCAATATATTCCTTTAGTTCTGTTGGTGACACCTATCAGTAAGCACCAATTTGAATACAAAGGGGAAAGCATATCTCAGAGAAGAAATGAATTTCAAGTCTGGTGGGTTTTTTTGGTTATTCAGTGTGACGCTTACTGCTGGCTTTTTGCAGTTTCCAGTTAGCTAGTTAAATATTGTCCAAAATAGTAATAACCCATGATCTGGTTGAACACCAAGGTTTTTAAGAACAGAGAGATCCAAGTTCCAGTTTTGATCCTACCTCTTACTAGATCTGTGATCTTGGGCAGAGTCACTTAACTTCTGAGTCTGTTCCCCTCATCAGAAAAATGTAAATGATAATACCTCTACCACGCAGAGTTGTTGGGAGGATGAAATGAAATAATGTAACTGCTGTACATATAGCCTAACACATAGTAAGTACTTGGCAAATGTTACTCGTTATTAAATATTATAGAATCAAGTAGGTAAAAATTGGCCAATATTTGTTATCTGGCTAGTGACTTTGGAACACTTTTTTTTAGTAAGCTCCATGCTCCACGTGTGGCTTGAACTCATGACCCTGAGATCAAGTCACATGCTCCACCTACTGAGCCAGCCAGGTGCCCCTTGACTTGTGACTTTGAAAGGAGGAAAATGCAGACTTTTCATAAATTACTGAAATGCCTCATTTTGAGGCCAAAAATGATGTTCTTAAAGACTCAGTAAGAAAGTAATTTTTACCTAATCTGTCCACTTTTTTCCTATTAGGCTGAGGGTTAAAGGAGAATTAAACTAATCATTGTCTTTAGCCTAAACAGCTTGGCCTTGTAAAAAGTCTCCCGGACTTTGAAATTAAGTGGACTTAACATGCATTTACCTTACTAATGTTGCTGTCTTTTCTCCAAATTTGTGGTTCAATTGTTAAACTGAGTGTATGTGAGCAACCTTACTCCTAAGATTATCTTTACAATAAGGCAAGATGCCAAGGCCAAAATTGAGACAGTAGTCTCAGAGAAGTCATATTTATTATTTCATAATTTGTATTATAATCGACCAGTTCTAGAGTTGTAACAGTGATAGGGAGAATTGAGTGTAGCCAAATATGTACAGAGATATTTTGCTCAGAATCTGCTTAATTAAAACTAAAGAATTACTTCACTCCTTAAACTTCTGAGTGCTTACTGTTTGGTAAGCTGTGTTAGAACTGGGAATACAAATGAAAATGAGATAATGAGATAAACCATGCTCTTGCTTGCTTTGTACTTCATCTCCTTGCTGGGAAGAATGGACAAAAGGGTTATATGTGTAGCTCCTTAAGTGCTGTGTATTGTAGGGTCAGGATCTGAAGAGAGTGGTACAGAGTGCTGTAGGAGTCAGTTGGATGGCCTAGGAACCTTGGAGGGCTACAGAAGGCTTCTGGCAGGAAAGAAATTCTAACTTGAAGTACTCAAGAAAAGGCAGTGGGGGAGAGAGTTGCAGTCAGAACACCAAGTTAGAAACTTTACGGAAAGATCAGATTGACCTGAAGCATTTAGTTATTTGAAGTGGAATGAAGCAAAGCAAGTTCCTTTGTGACAGATTTTACAACTTCTTACAGTGAAGAATATGAAATTAAAGTTTTTTAATGATTAAGGGAAAAAGAAAGCAGTAAGTTACATTCTGCTGTGTATCAGAGCTGTGTAATCAAAGCATTTCAATGCTGTTTTAAGTACAACTCTCTTGTGGGTAAGGGGTAAGAGTGAACCAGAAAGGCTTACTCAAATACAGCATGTGAATTGATGAATCATTGTCCTATTAACTTCTGAGGCATTGTTTTTGGAAAAATACTTGGCCTCAGAATGTGGTAACATAATATTTAAGAAGGTAGCATTATGCTTTTTTAAAAAAATTATTTATTCTTTAAAGCAAGTACTACTAACATTAAATTCTAAATAGCTTTTTTCACATGTCTTGAACTTTGGTCAGTCTTTTTTCTAGGAATCCTTGAATAGTTCGGCCATGTCTTTGAAGAAAAGAAGCTCATAAAGCCAAGGGCTAACCTGTCCATTGAATGTTGAGCAGAACTTGACTTTCCACCAGTTAATGCCTTAGCTCTGAGGTGACTGTTGAGTTCTGATCTTATAGTTTGTTTCTTTAAATGATAGTAGCCACTTTCTTCAAGGGCAGGCTTGAATTCAATGAAAATGGAATTTTAAGAACTTAGTCAAGTTGTAATTGTTGCAGGTCAATTTCATTCATGTAAGATTCCACTTTATAACCACGATGCAGTGAAGCCCTCTTAGGTCAACTCTACCTAAAGAGGCACATTTTTTTTTCTTCAGGTTAAATCATTTATAAGCATTATGAGCATTTATGCTCCCTCACCCCAAGTCTACAGAGGGACAGACTACCTTCTGTAAGACAGACCAGTAATAGATGAGTATACATTTTGAAGTACGCTCCAAAATAGTTTGTATGTGTAATTTAGACTAATGTTGGAATAACCAAATCTCCAAAAGATGCACAAGGTGTTATTCACATCAAGCCATCTTTGCCTAAATGATACTACTCTTGAGATGTTCCGTCTTTTCATGTGATCTGGTTTTTTCTGGGCAGTGTATTATTGAAATGCAGTGTTAAGTCAAACACATACTGGGAAAGTCTTGCCTTTTGACAGTATTGATATGAAAAGTGCTTTTTAAGAAGTGATACCACTGCTTTTCTGAAATATTGATCTTCTATTTTAGTGCGTAAATTCACAGACAAACATGAATGGATAACAACAGAAAATGGTATTGGAACAGTGGGAATCAGCAATTTTGCACAGGTATTGGATTGTCTTGAAATAACTTAAAACAGTGTGCTCTTGCCTAAATTGGATTGCTCTACCTTTTAAAGATTGTTTATTCTGCCCCTTATTATTTTGGGCCCTTTAAAGAACATCAATGAAGTAAACAAGTAAAAATATAAATTTAGTTAGAGCAGTATATAGTGCTTTAAGAGATTATTAAAAGGTTAACACTTAGAAGTAAACACCTTATTCAAGAAAGAAATGTTTCATCTTTGGGCAGTTAAGGAAAAAATAAGAGCAAGCAGAAGGCGTTGGGAGTGTTGACAGTGTGGATACTGTGATACATGCACAACCCCAAGGGATAAAGAAGGAAAACCTAGACTGGCACAGATTAGACAAAGGCAAACCTTTTATGTAGCCAATCTTTTTCTTTAATTTCACTATCCCCACTGATCCCATAATGAGAAATTATTCAGAAGAAAATGAGAAGCCAAATAGCAAGTATGAGTCAGTGATTTTCAGCTGGGGCTGTGGGGGGCGGTGGGGCAAGAAGGGGAAACTGTTAACTGATAGGAGTATATAGTAGTCTTCAGAAGTGTTGGGATCTCAGGTATTGAGCATCAATGACAATTGTTATCATCACTGGCCTGTGTACATACTGAGGCCCAGTACAGGGTACTGTGTACAACACTGTACAAGTGTCTTCACCTCCTGGAGTTTTATCTATGAGGGGAATCACCTACATGGAAAATGACACGCAAAACATATGATGGATAACGTGCATAGTACAAAGGTTGTAACTCACCTGATGGAGAGCTCACTTCTTAACTTGGAATCAAGATCTTCAGGGAGTACAAGGTATGAGGACTATGATTTACAGATCAGTGGGTAGGATTTTAGCAAATACAGCAGGGGAAATGGCCTAAGCAAAACTGCAAAGGTAGAAAAGCACAAGGTGTTTGTTCTCAGAGGAGCTAGTATATGGGGGGGATGAGGGGGATATGGTTTATGACAGGAGTCACTGCTGCTTGTGGGCCAGGCTAGCTGGTGGCCTGTTTTCTTACAGGTCCTGAGCTAAGAATGTTTTGCATTTTTGAAGAGTTGTAAGAAAAACTAAAGAATGTGGCCCCTGGAGTGTAAAATATGTACTATCTGAATTATAGAAGGTTAGTGTTTGACTTGTTTCTATTCACTAGGAGGTTTAATTTGATTTCTTAAAGGTTTGTGTTTTGTTTGTTTTAGGAAGCTCTGGGAGATGTTGTTTACTGTAGTCTGCCTGAAGTTGGGACAAAACTGAACAAACAAGGTATTTTTCTCATCTTGGTATATTATCCATGCCGTAAGTTTTCTTTACCTTGAATAATAACTTGTTTGCACCTAGGACCAGTTAGAGTGCTTTTTACTCAAGTAATAGAAAACTCATCTAAAAGATTAAAGTTGGGGTTTTTCTCCCTCAAGGAGTCTGGAGATAGGTGGATACAGGGGATTGGCTTAGTGGCACAGTGAAGGCTCATCAAGGACATGACCTCTTTTCATACTTTTTCTGCCTCAGTGTGTCAGAGGTCACAAAATGGCAGCAAAATCTTCAAGCATCACTTTCTCAAATGGCCATATCCAAAAGTAGGATGAGAAGGTAAAATCTGTTTTCCTTTGGAGACAGTAAAGAATCTTTTTCTAGGTATCTTTGACAATATTGGCCATGTTTTTTTTTTTCTGCTTAAACTTTCCCCATCATTTATCTTTTTTTTTTAAGATTTATTTATTTATTTATTTGAGAGAGAGAGAATGAGAGGGAAGAGGGTCAGAGGGAGAAGCAGACTCCCTGCTGAGCAGGAAGCCCGATGTGGGACTCAATCTCAGGACTCCAGGATCATGACCTGAGCCGAAGGCAGTCGCTTAACCGACTGAGCCACCCAGGCGCCCTCCCCATCATTTATCTTGTTTGAACTTTTTCTGCTTCCTGGCTCTCATATAATATTAGGTCATATCCCTCTTTTTTGAAGGTCTTCATAGGAACCTTTTCCGATGCCATAACAAGATCCTGTTGTGATTAATAATCTTTGTCCATTTTCCTGTGTTCTCTACATCAGAGAACAGTTGTTCTTGTTTTCTCATGATATTTTGTACCCACTCTGCTGCTCTCAAGCAAGAGATCCTGTTTCTGAACATCTCTTTATAGCAAGTGAGCAGCATGAACCTGGTTTCTATGCTTAAAAAACTTACGTTAACATAAATATCCCTAGTGAATACTGTCTTTAAACTTTTCTGCTAAAGGCTTTTAGAAAATTGATGAAAAATTTACATACAGTGAATGCATGAAGTCTACAATCCAGTGAGTTCTGACAAACGTAAACACTGTGTAAGCCTTGCCAATTAAAACCCTTCTCAAGACAACCTGTTCTCTGATTTCTGACACCATAGGTTAGTTTTGTCTATTATTTAAACTTCATTCAAAAGGAACCACACAGTTTTTATATTATGTCTGGCTTCTTTTGTCCAGTGTCATGATTTTGAGATTTATGTTGAGTGACCAGTAGTTTATTTTTTTTATTGCTGAGTAGCGTACCATTAGGTAACATTTTAATCTTTTCTCCTGTTGATGGATTTCCGTGTTTCTAGTTTTTAGCTATTAGAAATAAAGCTACTATAAACTTTTTTGTTGAAGTCTTGTTTGTAGATGTGTTCATTTCTCTTGGGTATATATATGTGTGTGTATATGTGTATATATATGCATATATATATGAGTGGAATTTGTGGCTTGTAGTATAGTAGTTGTATGTTTTAACTTTTTAAGAAATTGCCAAACAGGGTCCCAAAGTGGTTGTACCATTTTACATTCTCACCAGCAATATGAGAGAGTTCTAGGTACTGCAGATCTCACTGTGAGATGACAAATTATTTTTGAGTACCCCCTTCCATGTGCTTTTTGCCACTCACATCTGTTTGTAGTCTCTAGTCAAGCCTTTTCCAATTTATTTGTGTTGTCTTTTTACCATTGATTTTTAGGCATTCTATATATTCTAGGTACAAATCCTTTTTCAGATCTATATTTTGTGAAATTTTGTCATAGTTTGTTATTTTGTCTTTTCATTTTAACTGTTCTTTTGATAAGCTTTTAATTTTTAACAAGTCCAAGTTATTAATGTTTTTATTTATGTACAGAACATTGCATCTTTTCTAAGAAATCTTTGTCTCCATGGTTCCCATCCTATATGCCCTAGAGCTATGGGATAGTTAAAATTTTCAGTCTCTTTTGGACACCACACACTGATAGCTCAATAGAGTTAAGTTATCCAATATTAGATCTGTGTTATCTTGGGTAATGTGTCTTTGAAGCAAATATTGCATGAGAGTAAGCAAGGATCATCAGTAAGACAGTGTGGTGTTCAGTCTGATTCCCTGATAGAGAACTTGTATAGTATGCAACAGACACACATTATCAGTAAATACTTGTAGTTAAAAATGAAAAATATATTACTAAGATACTTAGGGCACTATGAACCAAGAAAGTTTGAGCAACTTTGGCCTATACCAAGTTTGCAAAGGTATTCTCCGTGTTTTCTTCTTGAAACTTTATATAGTTTTTGCTTCCATTTTCAAGCATTATTAAATTGACTGTTTCTTAACAGTTTTATAGATTCCTTTGAATCTTCTATGTAAACAATAATGTAATCTGTAAATAAAGAACTTTATTTCTTTTCAATATTTATGCATTTTCTTTCTTTTTCTTGCCTTATATACTGAGCCCTCGGTATAATGTGGTATAGAAGCAGTGAGGTAGACATCATTGCTTTGGCCTTGTTCCTGATCTTGAGAATGCATTAAGATTTCATCATTTAGGCATGATAGTTAGCTGGGGGTTTTTGATAGAATCTCATTATCAGATGAGGAGGTTCCTTTCCATCTAGTTTGCTGACAGTTTTTATCGTTTATAGATGTTGAATTTTGTCACATTTGTTTTATCCATCTTACTGACATGATCATAAGCGTTTTCTCCTTTATTCTGTTAATGTGATGAATAAGGTTATTTTTAAATGTTTAACCAGATTTGCACTCCTGGTAGTTATGATGTAAAAATTACCTTTAAAAATATACTGTGGGATTTGATTTGCTAATTAATCATTTTTGTATTAATATTTGTTAGAGAGATTGGTCTTTTACAATGGCTTTGTCAGATTTTGGAATTAGTTATATTGACCTCTTGCTTTTTTTTGTTTTTGTTTTTTTAAGATTTTTATTTATTTATTTGCCAGAGTGAGAGAGAGCACAAGCAGGGGGGTACCATCAAACAGAGGGAGAAGCAGGCTCCCTGCAGAGCAAGGAGCCCGATCTGGGACTCAATTCCAGGACCCTGGGATCATGACCTGAGCCGAAGGCAGACACTTAACCAACTGAGCCACCCAGGCATCCCTGTATAGGCCTCTTAGACTAAGTTTGGAAATGTTCTCACCTTCTCTCTTTTTCTGAAAGAATGTGCAAGATTGGTATTATTTCTTCCTTAAATGTTTGATAGAATTAATCAGTTAAATCTTGAGTCAGATGATTTCTTTCTGGTAAGGTTTTTGATACAAACTTAATTTCTTTAATAGATATAAGGCTGTTCATATTTTCTACATTATCTTTGATTTCCTTATATTTTGGGGGGAATTTTTCCAGGTTGTCAAATTCAGTAGTAAAGATGTGGTAATTTGTGTGTTTTCTCTCTTTTTTTTCATCAGTCTTGTTAGCTATTAATCATATTAATCCTGAAAGAAGCAAATTTTTACCGTTAATTTTTTTATAGTCCATTTATTTCATGCTCCTAGCTTTGTTTTCTTCCTTCAAATTAGACTTAATTTCTCTATCTAATTTTTCCTTAGGTAGAAAATTGGGGCTTTGTTTTAGTAAGTACTTTTTTACCCATACTATAAAACGCTGTCTCCCTTGTGATCGGTAGCAGCTAAAATCTAAGTTTAATTCTTTTAGCCTTAGGTGGGACACCAGCTGTGCATGCATGGCTCAGGCATCATTCAGAGACCTGGACAGAGTTTATACACAGGATTTGGGGCTCTCCCTTTTAGTCTCTCTCCTTGGGCTTTCCCACCTCACTTTCCAGTAGTTATGGCGGCCTCAACTTGTCTTCTGGTCCCTTATGCCAATTCAGACTGAGATTTTCTCTCAGAATTTTGTCTGCCCCAAATGGCAAAGATTGGTGCCTGTCTTCAGGCCAAAAGTCATTTGGCTCAGTCGTTAAGCGTCTGCCTTCGGCTCAGGTCATGATCCCAGGGTCCTGGGATCGAGCCCCGCATCAGGCTCTCTGCTCCGCGGGAAGCATGCTTCTCCTTCTCCCTCTCCCTCTCCCTCTCCCCCTGCTTGTGTTCCCTCTCTCACTGTGTCTCTCTCTCTCTGGCAAATAAATAAATAATCTTTAAAAAAAAAATCAAAAATCACTATTGTCCCTTCTTTCAAGTGTTGTCTCCTTTCCATGAACTGACTGCTATTGTTCATTTTCTAGTGTCTCTAGAACCCAGGTCATTGATTTTTAAGATGTTCTTTGTAAATGAGACCTAAAGATAATTGCCTTCTAAGCACTATTTTAGCTATATCCCACACATTTGGGTATATTTTATTCTCAGTATCATTCAGTTCAGATCACTCAGTGTTGTCCCAGAGGTGACCAAGGCTCTGTTAATTTTTCAGTCTTTTTTCATTCAAAAGACTGAAATATGGTTAATTTCACGTGCTCTTTCTTCACATTCACTGACCCCTTCTGCTGTTACTGCCACCCAGTGAATTTTATTTTAGATATTATACTTCAGTTGTAGAATGTCCGTTTTTAAAATTTCAATTTCTTTGCAGGTATTCCCCCATGTGTTCACACATGATGATCTTTTTAAAAATCTGAACATATTTGTAATAGTTACTTTTAGGTTCTCTGCTTATTCCAGTATGTGGGTCTATGGGTCCTTTTAGCATCTGTTGACTACTTTTTCTCTTGACCATGGCTCCCTTCTTTATAGGATTTCAACCCTCAGTTTCCAGCCACCTTCGCTGGCCCACGTTCCATCCTCTGACCTCTCAAGCAAATAAGACTGGTTTTCTCTGTGTTCTGGTGAAACTGTGTGCTTTGAATGGGGCAGTGTTATCAGTACAAATTATATAAAAGAAGATCTCACTCAGTTTGGGCCCCTTTTAAGGATTGACTCCTTTGGTCACCCTTCAGAGCCTTCATATAATTGTTTTTTGTTTTGTTCAGAGTTTATAATTGTTATCTGTAAGAAGGCTGGTCTGATGAGGTACTTCACCATTACTGGAATCTCCTAAAATTTCATTTTCATTGAGTTTTACTGGGTTTAAGTACATCTGGTATTTAGATACATCACCATTTGTTGTTGATTCCGTCTAAAAACAGGTCCACTTAACTGAGGATATTTATACCCTTCACACAGGTGATATGAGCATGACAAAACTTTTTTTTTTTTTTTTTTTTTTTTTTAGTTAAAGATATTAAGAATGCTTTGGGGGCACCTGGGTGGCTCAGTCAGTTAAGTGTCTGCCTTTGGCTCAGGTCATGATCCCAGGGTCCTGGGATCAAGCCCTGTGTCAGGCTCCCTGCTCAGCAGAGAGTCTGCTTCTCCTTCTCCCTGCTTGTGCTCTCTCTTGTATCTCTCTCAAATAAATAAGTAAAATCTTTAAAGATATTTAGAATGTTTTATCGTGCCTGTATTAAAGGTGACCACTTATCCCTATTTTATATTTTCAGGTCACTGACTTTTGATATTTAATATCTTAATTTTCTCAATTTAGATGAGTTTGGTGCTTTGGAAAGTGTGAAAGCTGCTAGTGAACTGTATTCTCCTCTGTCAGGAGAAGTAACTGAAATTAATGAAGCTCTTGCAGAAAATCCAGGACTTGTCAACAAATCTTGTTATGAAGATGGTAAGTTGTTGCTAGAAATGTTTTCAAAGGATTATTGCTGCAGTTAACATTTAGAGTTTAAAGCAAGCTTTAGCAGATTTAGCTATCTTTTTGTACTTTTTTTTTTTTAAGATTTTATTTATTTGACAGAGAGACACAGCGAGAGAGGGAACACCAGCAGGGGGAGTGGGAGAGGGAGAAGCAGGCTTCCCGCAGAGCAAGGAGCTGGACGCGGGGCTTGATCCCAGGACCCTGGGATCATGACCTGAGCTGAAGGCAGACGCTTAACGACTGAGCCACCCAGGCGCCCCTCTTTTTGATACGAGATAGGGATATTTTGCTTTAAAAAAGGGAAACACAGATTAGCTGAATATATAAGGTTAGCTTTAAGGGGCGCCTGGGTGGCTCAGTTGGTTAAGTGACTGCCTTCGGCTCAGGTCATGATCCTGGAGTCCTGGGATCGAGTCCTGCGTTGGGCTCCCTGCTTGGCGGGGAGTCTGCTTCTCCCTCTGACCCTCTTCCCTCTCGTGCTGTCTCTCATTCTCTCTCTCTTAAATAAATAAAATCTTTGAAAAAAAAAAGGTTAGCTTTAAGATCTCTGTCAATAAAAGCATTGCCTTCTTTTACAGAGTTCTTAGTATTACAGGTATAGACTTTTTATGAACACTTTTCAAAGTATTTAACTCTTCAGACATAAAGGTGGTAATAGAATAATACGTATTGCATCAGTTTTGTCACATTTTCATCTTCTTAATAACCCAGTGAAGTATGGTAGCAGCAGTTTTCTCCATTTTGTACATGAATTACAAAATTAAGATTAGCTTGTAGTTCTCTGTTGCCTGTCACCTAGCCCTTCTAACTCTAGTAGTGCTTTCTGCTCCCTCCTCCCCTTCACCTCAGCAGTTACAGTGTTGGTGTTCCTTCTGTTAAAGAAAGATATCCCTGGTCTTGTATATTTGGATCCCTCAATGTTGTTGATGGTTGCGACAACTTGAGGTTTTTTTGTTGTTTTTAATTTTTAAAAATTTAATTCTAGTATTGTTAACATAGTGTTTATATTAGTTTCAGGTGTACAATATAGTGATTCAGCAATTCTACACATTACTCATAGCTTATCATGATAAATGTACTTTTTTTAAAAGATTTTATTTATTTATTTGCGAGAGAGAGAGAATGAGAGATAGAGAGCACGAGAGGGAAGAGGGTCAGAGGGAGAAGCAGACTCCCCACTGAGCAGGGAGCCCAATGCAGGACTCGATCCCGGGACTCCAGGATCATGACCTGAGCCGAAGGCAGTCGCTTAAGCAACTGAGCCACCCAGGCGCCCAATAAATGTACTCTTTAATCCCCATGCCATATTTCATCCATCCTTCCACCTACCTTGCCCTGATAATTATCAGTTTGTTCTCTATACTGAAGAGTCTCTTTTTTTTTTTCCTTTGTTTGTTTTGTTTCATAAATTCCACATATGAGGGGTTTCTGGGTGGCTCAGTCAGTTAAGTATCCAACTCTTGACCTCAGCTCAGGTCTTGATTGGGGTCATGAGTTCAAGCCCCATGTTGGGCTCCATGCTGGGTGTGCAGCCTACTTTAAAAAAATTCCACATATGATTGAAATCCTGTGTTGTCTTTCTCCGACTGACTTATTTTGCTTAACATTATACTATCTAGCACCATCCATGTTGTTGCAAATGGCAAGATTTCATATTTTTCTTAATGGCTGAGTAATTATCCATTTTATACACAAACGCACAAATATATACACCACATCTTCATCTATTCATCTGTTGATGGACACTTGGGCTGCTCCATAGTTTGGCTATTTTAAATAATGCTTCAGTAAACATAGGGATGCATATAGCCTTTTGAATTAGTTTTTGCATTCTTTGGATAAATACTCAGTAGTGCAAATATTGGATCATAGGGTTTAACTTTTGGGGGCACCTCCATACTGTCTTCCAGTGGCTGCACCAGTTTGCATTCCCACCAACAGTGCACAGAGGTTTCTTTTTCTCCACATCTAGTCAACATTTTTTGTTTTTTGTGTTTTTTTATTATAGCCATTCTGACAGGTTTGAGGTTAAGAGTTCTTAATCCATTATAGTAGAATCTATTCTGGCTTTAATTCTTTTCAGTTGTGATATGCAAGGATATTAACTGAATTCTTAGGGCTAAAATATAAAGCTCCTTGAATAATGAGTGATTTATGTAAAGAATACTAGATCAATTTAAAAAGGTAATTTGGAATATGATACTTTTTTTCGGTTGCAGGTTGGCTGATCAAGATAGCACTCAGTGATCCTTCAGAACTGGATGAATTAATGAGTGAAGAAGCATATGAGAAATACATAAAATCTATTGAGGAGTGAAAATGGAACCCCTAAATAAAACTAGTATGAAACAACTTAATCTAGCATAGTTGTCTTAAATTAGTGGTACACAGAGGATTTAAAATAGCAACTATTAGCAATACCAGTGGAGAAAGAAACTACTTGCAACAATGCTAATGGAAGAAAATACCCCTTAACTTTATAATGATTGCAGAAAAACACAACATGCATCTGTTTTGCAACACCCTCTGATTTTTATGCTCCAGTTATAATATTCAGAATCCTGAAATTATCTTTGGTTAAAAACTAGTTATAAAAATTATGTAATTCAAGGATGACATTGTTGCCTTAAGCCTTAAGCTTACATCTATCCCTGGATGGGGGTCAAAATGCTTAAATAATCTTTCCATTGGACATAACTGGCAGTAGAGAAAGGTTTGTTAGTTGTATGTGTCAGATAAAGAACAATACTACCTTAATTTTGCAATATACTGCACTTGCTGGTGCTATTTTTATACAATGAAGCAACAGCCTTGCAGGAAGATAGTTTAATAATAAAACATTCAACTTCTTCGTTATTCATGTTTTTTGTTTTAATACTTCATTTAGTGACTCTGCTAGTATTTGTGAAAATGCTAATTTTAACTTATGGAAAGTTTTTTTTTTTAAAAGGAAATTTAAGCCATAGCAATGAAAGGTTCCAAGAAAATGTTTCCTTTTAGTCACAAATCTGGTTTTTCTTAAAGACCTAATTGCCTGATAGCATTAAGTACCATTTTTGGTCATCTTTAATATAATCACAAAGAAAGCACTGACCGGTGGTTTTTGTTTTGTGGTGTTTTGTTTTGTTTTTTGTAATGCTTCTAGGTTAGAAGACAGAAGAGGAAAACAAGGAAAGGTAAAAGTTGGATAAGCACAACACTTGGCATCCTTAAGAAAGTAAACCACATTCAGGTTTCCACTTTAGTGGGAACAGAAATGGACATAGTGAAACTTTTTATGAGCTCGCACATTGACTTAGTGAATATTCTTCGCAGCTTAAGCAAATTTACAGTGCCCACTGGTGTTTTTAAGTAGCTAAATAGCATATTTTCTAAGCCAAGTATAATATGCTGATATTTTGAAGGGGATATTATATATACACACAAAACTGTAAATATATATAAATATACACATACACATAGCAAGAGCAGACAAACCTCTATCATTTTTCCCAGTTAATGCAGGAAAAGGGATGTATTCAAATACTACCACCTTCTGACGGTGAATAAACTGCAAATGTGAAAACCGAGATGAAATAGGTAGGTAAATAACAAATATTTCCTGCTCCTCAGGAGAGAGAAACCATCCTTTAAGGGCCATGTCACTGCTGAGCTATATCTTTGCATCCTTATCAAGAAAGTATTGAAAATATTTTGGATGACTGTTTTCCTTGTTTGTATAATTAGTCAATTTTTAGTTATTAAAAATTAATTTACTCTGCTTTAGAAACAGAATGAGTAATAATTACATAGATTTACTCTTTTGTTTTGAAGTACTCTCATACATTACCTTCTTTGATGATTAAAGCAATATCCAGAGCTAGGTAGGACAGATCCATAAATACCACCATTTCACAGGAAAGAAAGGTAGTAGAGAGGGTAAGACACTTAAAGAGCTGGACACTTAAAAATCCATGGTTAGGATTTTCACATTTCCTGGTCCATTCTTTATCAGTTCTTTAGCTAGTGTTACTATAAAAATACTTATACTGGAATAGGGATTGTAGGGAGGGAGAATGAATGTTCTAAAGGAGGGAAGTATGCAAAAATGGCAATTCCAGAGTGAAAGGACATCAGTGATTATAATCTGAAAGAGATGGGCAGTTTTTATTCTCCCATCCTTTCCCAAAGACACATGCTTGCTTTGTTAGGCTCCCTTTGAGCTTTTTCAAAGAGCTGAACAGTATGGCAACTTGCTCTCTTGCTATTTAGAATACAGAACCATTTCAACCCTCATTTGTATCGTAGTGCTGCCAAAAATAACAGGCGTTGAATGGCCTTCCAAACAGTAAATCAAGAGAGAATTTAATTTCCTTGACCTCATAATTCCTTTTGAATGGTTTTGGTCTTAATAGAGCATTTTAATAAAGGTTTTGAGTAATGCTTGCTAATAATTAAAACTCAAGAAACAGAACAGGTTACCCTAGAGGTATTACAAAAATCTTTTTATCACCTTAAAAATTTTATCACCTCTCCAAGTTTAAAGAAGTTGACAATGTTAAGTTTTAAGAAAGAAACTACTAGGGGCGGGCGCCTGGGTGGCTCAGTTGGTTAAGCGACTGCCTTCGGCTCAGGTCATGATCCTGGAGTCCCGGGATCAAGTCCCACATCGGGCTCCCTGCTCAGCAGGGAGTCTGCTTCTCCCTCTGACCCTCCCCCCTCTCATGTGCGCTCTCTCTCTCATTCTCGCTCTCTCAAATAAATAAAATCTTAAAAAAAAAAAAAACTACTAGGGGTGCCTGGGTGGCTCAGCTGGTTGAGCATCTGATTCTTGGTTTCAGTGGGGTCATGATCTTAGGGTTCTGGGATCTGCCTGCATCAGGCTCTGACCTCAGCAGAGAGTCTGCTTGAAATTCTCCCTCTACCCCTCCCCCTGCTTCTGTGTTCTCTCTAAAATAAATAAATCTTGGGGCACCTGGGTGGCTCAGTTGGTTAAGCATCTATCTGCCTTCGGCTCAGGTCATGATCCCAGGGTCCTGGGATGAAGCCCCACATGGGGCTCCCTGCTCCGCAGGGAGGCTTTTTTCTCCCTCTGCCACTCCCACTGCTTGTGTTCCCTCTCCCTCTCCCATGTAACTGTCCTTATTACTGCTTAACAATCACTATTCTTTCAGACCCAGTCACACATATGCCTTCCTCAGAAAGGGCCCTCACTTTACAAGGAGATTAAATTCTTCCCTGCAAATGGCTTTACTACTATCTATCCCCATCAATATTTTCCCTTTCTAGGCCAGGTTTAGGTTCACAGAAAAATTAAATAGAAAATACAGTTTTCATCTATCTCTTGCCTCCATCTTTCTGTTGTTGAAACATTCCTTGGCCAATTCTAGGACCTTATTCTACTAGAGCTCCTGATATCTTGATTCAGTCTGTAATTACAAAACAATTGTCCCTTCATGTTTCTGCTCAGTCATGCTATCAGGTTTTTACCTGCTAAACTTCAACAGTGATTACCACTAGCCCATTTAAAAGCAAGGTGTGCAGGCACAGTTACTGTAAAGGAAATCAGTTACCATCTTCCAACTTTCCACATGTGCTTCATGAGAACATGCTTACAGTCATGTTAATTAAGAGTCATTTAGTAAAATACTTCGTTAAAATTTTTGGTATACTTCCCAGAAACAGAAAGTAGCTTTAATGAGTGGGTAACAAAGCCTTCTGCTAGTCAGGAGATTTCAAATTTTGTTAACTGATTTCTCTGTGGAAAGGAGTTCTTAAAAACTTGAGAAACTGCTATAACAAAACCTCTTCCGTGTGCATCTTCATATGAACAAGGTATCTCATTATATATGTTTAAAAAATGAATAAAATTGGGGCTGAATCTGTCTCATTCTAGCAGTATGTGACGTTTATCCAGATACAAGAATTGCAGAGGGGAGGAACAGTGCCACCCATTTCATTCCGATATACTTCCAGCAACATTAATATTTATCAACACATTTAATATATTCCTACTGTTTGTCAACTGAGTAGGGATAAAGCCAATTCTCGATCTGGAAAAACAATGGACTGTTTTCGCCTTATGGTGTTTTAAGTTTCACTTTCAAATTTGTTTCTTTTTGCACATCAAATTGACAAGACTACTCAATTAAGTCTTGACCATTTGACCATAAATGTTAGAATAAAGTTGTGTAGGAAGTAGAATTAAGAATACAATAACGAAGGCGCCTGGGTGGCTCAGTTGGTTAAGTGACTGCCTTCGGCCCAGGTCATGATCCTGGAGTCCCGGGATCGAATCCCGCATAGGGCTCCCTGCTCTGCAGGGAGTCTGCTTCTCCCTCTGACCCTCCCCCCTCTCATGTGCTCTCTCTCTCTCATTCTCTCTCTCTCAAATAAAAAATATTTAAAAAAAATAAAATTATGAATTTAAGAAAAAAAATTCTATCTTTTTAATTAGTTTATATTTTTAAATAGATGTTGATGGGTATCAAACTTACTAGATTTCTTTCAGTACCTTTCAAAGGGTTGTAACATTTTTATTTTTAAGATTTTACTTATTGGAAAGGGAGAGTGCACGAGTGGGGTAAGGGGCGGAGGGAGAGAATATCCAAGCAGACTCCCCAGTGAGCGCAGAGCCTGATGCAGGGCTCAATCTCATAACCATGAGATCAGGACCTGAGCCAAGTAGAGACTGGGACACTTAACTGCCTAAGCCACCCAGGTGGCCTGGGGTGTGACATTTTTAAATGCCAACATTTATGATACTTTCCTACCATTTAAATTTATGAACGTTTTATGTTTTAAAAATGTGCAATGAAGTAATGCAGTTTTGTACAATTGTTTTTACAAGTATGAAGGCCTACCATTTCTTCCTGGTTGTGAGATACAAGACCCAAATATGCATATTTTAGGCAAAGAAATTACACCTAAAAAAGTAGTAATATCTAGAAAAGTACTTTGTTCTAACATCCCAGAATAATTACACAATAGTCTTTCCGTAGACTTTCCAGGCATTCTAATTACTACTGTGGGTTCTGTTTAAAAAAAAAAAAAAGTAGTAATACACAGCTATCTTCCAAATGCCTCTTTATCACAGTGCTATAAGAGACATTCTAATGCTTTTACACAACAGAATTATTCACACACACACACACACACACACACACACAACTAGAAAGCAGGCCGGCGTTGGAATCAGACGTGAGTTGGGTCCAGGCTCCACCACTGAACAACCTGGCCTGAGCCATAGGTTCCCACCGCTGGCTGAACCTCGAGGTGTTCAAAAGTGCGAGGACCAAAGGGGGGGAGCAGTGGGTAGCTGTGCCCACTTCGTCGTCTGACTTAAGGGCGTGAGGCTACGTCCCTTCAGGGTTGTACCGCAACATGACACAAGTTCGACGAGCGCGACGTGGTGTCGCCGGCGGATTCAAACTAGTACTGCCCCGTCAGGCAGGCGGGGCCCGAAAGTTAAAGAGCAGATTCCACTCGGAAGTTTCTGGCCCGCACTCGGTCTCCTGGGGGAGGGGCAGTTTGGGAACAGCTGGCAAAGCTGGGGACCTTTTTGGTTGCCGGGCATCTAAAGGGAGAGGCCACGGATGCTGCCCAGCATCCTACAACGCGCAGAGGAGCCCCCCCCCTTAGCCCCCGCCGGCCCGACGACAGCAGTGCCGGGCGTGAGATCCTGGGTTTCTGAGGGGAAGCCGGTCCTACGGCCCTCTCTTTCTAACTCCACCGTCCGCGGGGCATCCGGCCGCTGCGTCCATCTCCCGGACTCGCGCTTGGTCTTGCACCTTACCTCAAACGCGTCCTCAGGCGCTCACAGCCGGCCGCCGCTCCTCAGGCGCGGTTGGGGCGGGGAAGGTGCGCAGCTGCGCAGAGCCTGCTGGGAGCACGTGCCCACAGCCGTCAGCCAGAGGCGTCTCCCGCGCTCAAGCTTTGTTACGCAAGGCGGGCCCTGCATCACTTCCGCGACAACCCCCCGCGGGCCCCGCCCCCAGCGCGTCCGTAACCCAGGGCAACTGTCGCGCTCGCCTGCCGGCGGGGACTTACCTGTCCCGGGGACTTCCATCCCGTGGGGCCCACAGAAGGGTGTGAGCGGCCGCGGCCGCTTCCCCCGCCTCCGGGGCAAGGCCCCAGACAACTCCACAGGCGGCAGAGCGACAGGCCCTGCCCGGTTCTAAAGGAAGCTGCCCTCCGAGGCGGGGAGGCAAAAGCGAGAGGTAGTGTGGGCCGGGGCTGGAATAAGAGTGGGCGGGTCCTGGGAGGAGCGGAGAGGAATGGGTGGGGCAGTGGGAGGAGCTGTTGAAAGGGCGGAGCCTTGTGAGGGAGGAGCCAAAGGAGGAAGAGGAGGGGCTCGTGGGCAAGTGGGGACGTTTCGCTGGAGAGGACAGCTCTTGAAAGAAGGGTAGGCATCTTTTGTGGCACGGCAGGAACTGCTGGATGAAGAGGAGGAAGAAGGATCTTGGAAGAAGGGAAGGAGCCTGGGGGAAGGGGAGGGCCTATTCTAGGAAAGGGAAGAGCCAGGTGTGAAAGGCCGGGGCTTTTGGAGCAACAGGTGGAGTGTGTGTCTTTGATGACTTGTGCTTTCATGTAGACTTGTAAGCTGTGTGACAGCTGAGAAGACACGCGTGGCTTTACTATTTTATTACCAGAGCTAGCTATCTAATAGGCATGTAGTGAGTGAATGGGTGTGAGTGGAAAGAGCGGAAGGGTTGGAGACTGGGACTGCAGTAATAAAGAACTGATCCGGAGGGATGGTTGTATAAACCACGCCCTTAGGATTCCTTCTATGGGTCATCAAAGCTGCTGTGCTCTATGGGCACGTAATAAGCATAAGGCACAGATAAGTAACTTGGAGAGATAAGATTTATACTCCCGAAAATGTGAACAAACTGTGCAAGTTGAGTGGCGCATGTGCTTAACTTTGAGGCAAAGATTTAACTCCCTGCCGAGCTGTGTTCCAAAATTGTAAATTAGATTGAAGTCTTCGTATCATTTTCCTTTAGAAACTATATTACCAGTGATCAGCATGCCCAAGACAATCTTCAAGACTTATTTAACCACTTCATATGCCTGAAGCTCATACATATGAGCTTCACATATAGGAGCTCAACTAAATACAGTTCTGTATTCAGAAACTTCGCTTCCACCATAGCTAACAGTGTTTCTATTCATTGATTTCTTCACGCAACACACGTTAAGGATCCACAGGACCATCCATTCAGAATTCCAGTTGAGACTGCCAGAAGCCCATCTGAAATTCTGACATAGATTCAAGATTCCTTTAAACCTGAAACTTCCAGGAAGATGGGGGGAGGGTGTAGGGCACAGTGTAGGGCCAGGGAGGTGGCAGGGAGTTTTAATGGATCATAGCTTGCTTTTGACTTAAATGTCCTGGGCTTTTTACCTCTCCTGGCCCATCAACATCCCCCCCCCCCATTAATTACCTGGGAATGTGTCAACCAGGTGTAGGAGTCTAGAGCAAGGCATTTGGAATCTGACTTTTTTTTATAAGCAATGGCAATTAGGTGGCATGTATGTTACCACTCTTTAGTCTTTGGCAGACATCATTAATCAACCACAGAACTCTTCCCTGCAGTGGCCAAGTTTTAACATCCTTCTCAACACAACACTCTAGCTGTGTTGGGACTGTTTGGAACCGACAGTTTGGAACCTATTCTTCATCCCTAATATAGACAGTAAATATTTAAAAAAATTAATAGACATAGATGTAAATTTCTATAAATCTTGGTAGGAGTCTTTTTTTTTTAAAAAATGAAGTTTACCTAAATCGATGGAATCAAGAATCCTGTAGATGAGATTTATACACATAGGCCTGACAATTGTATAGTGAGGTGAATTTGCAGCCAGTTGGTAATTAGTAAATGCCCCAGTACAAGGCATATCCACATGGCATTGTCCTTTACCCTCTCCTCGCCAACATTTTATCAGTGACTTAGATGAAGTTACAGGAGGTATGCCTATCAAATGCAAGTCTTAAATTGGGAAGGAATGGCCAAGGAATGGCCAAACTCTGTCAGAGTCAGATTTGCAAGTATCTAAGCAGGTTGGAATAATGGTCCAAAACCAACAAGAGGAAATTTTAGAAAGATCTGATCCATTCAGAGGTCTATATCTAGTGGAAAAAAAGAGGAAAAAATTTTTAAAAGAAAATTAACGGCATGTAAATGGAGTGAGGAAGACAGGGATTATTAACAATTCATGGGGAAAAATGTAGAAGTTATAATTGACCTCATGCTGAGTGTTAATCAAGATTGGGATATAGCTTTTTAAACATGTAGCAATCTTTGTCCAATTAATAGGTGTAGATTTCAGATCAAAGGGAGTCAGATTTCAAAATAGACATTTCTAGCCAGACGACATTTGAAATATTACCCTCATTTCCAGGTACTACATTTTAAAGACATTGACAGGCAATTGTGCATTCTCAAGGTGAGGAAATTTGAGATTCTCTTCTGAAGAAATAATAGCCATCTTCACTTATTTTCAGGATTATCATGTTGCTTTTGGGAGGAACACCAGGAACTGAGGAGCATAAGTTTCAGGGTTGCAGATATCACCCTATTCTTTAGAGCCACCAGCGGAATGAAACAAGATGCTTGTAAAGTAATGAGCTCTCAGTTATATGATGGCAAAACTCCATGGAAGTCAAGAAGTGGAATAGTATGACCTATTGATTTACTTCAACTGTGTAAACTAGGCATATTTTTACTATCGGAAAATATGGCTATTATACCCATGCAGATGTCTGCATTTCAACATAAAAGTTAGAATGCATACCATTTGTAGGAAATCACATATCCACTCTTTTAGTTGATCTTTGATTGCTTCTTGTATACTTCTATTTCTCATCTCTTACATGAGCCCGAAGACAAGAATGGGCAATACAACTTGAAGGCATGGTTATTGGAGAAAAATTTTAAATTAAGACTGTTCTTTCCACTAACTGAATTCGTTTGTTTTTTTTTTTTTTCTAATTAGGAAAAGACCACCAACATTCCATTTTAGTAGTGGAGCATCTTGATCCAGCTTGAACACCAGTGTTCCAGAGAAGCACCTAGCAATCTGGTATGCGGTAATCTGGCCATTTGACTAAGAATACTATGTTTACTGACTTCAGAGATGATTCTTACTTTTGGTCATAAGGAGTCAATATTGTTCCCACAATCTTCCATTAAATAAGTACTTATAAAATGCAGTATTTATAACAAATATGTAAAGTGCTCATAATAATGCCTGGCACATAGTAAGAGCTATTATGCAGCTCTTACTTTTATTATTTAATATTATCATTACCTGGGTTTCTTTTGGCACTTTGGAATATAATGTGACTAGAACTTCTGGTGCCCTCACTGGGTCCAACCTCTATTGACTCTAAAATAGGGGCTTCCCCAATATCGCATCTTTGGCCTCCACTGTTTGTTTGTCTCGATATAGAGATAATATCGTCTTCCTCTCAGATTTCACATATTCTCATGACATGTGAGAAATAGTTGAAGTTGCTGGAGATGGTTAACCTGACAGAGAGAAGAGTACATGGAACCTTTTCATCCTTTTCATAGGGCCGTTGGGGAGCTGAGGCAATGGGCCATCTTCGGATCAATGATTCTTCAATCCTTTGCAGTTACAGTGTTTGTAAATAGAATAGCACTTCTGGTTTTTAGCCACTCCTAATATCGTTTTTTCCTTTCAGATTTCATTCATTTCCTCTGATGTCATATTGGAAAAGATTAAGATGTCCAAAGATATTTGACCTTCCATAGGTAAATGGAACTTTATTAGCATCAAAATACCACTTTAAGCCTATGTGAAAAAGCCAAAATGGTAATTAAACAGATATTGTTATAAAAAGTTATTGATCTCTCCCTCAACAGAAAATTTAACACGTGGCTTTCTGGCAGGGATCAGGTTAGGGTGAGAGAAAGCAAAGTGTGTGGTCCCCAGTGGCCTCTGTGTCATTACAAGCAGGGAATCCTCAAGAAGGCACTGGCTGTTCATCAGCATGCAGCTGGACCACTGGAGGTCACTGCCTGGGCCCAGGGATTCATCTCTGAAGCTTGTGGGTTGCCCAGGAGGAACCTCTGTCTGTAGGAAGATACTATAATCATGCCCAACTTAGAGATGAGCAAACGGACCCAGAAAAGTAACTTGCCCAAGGTCGTATACGTACTAATAGGATTGGAACCCTGGCTGTTTGGCAATCAAGTCTGTGCTCCTGATTAGGATGATAACTTTCCATGGGTGATTCAGTTGGTTAAGAATCTGAGTCTTGATTTCAGCTCAGGTCTTGATCTCGGGGTCGTGAGTTCAAGCACTGCGTTAGGCTCCATGCTGGGTGTAGAGTCTACTCAAAAAAACAAAAAACAAAAAACAACAAAACCCAGAAACAAAAAAAGGATGACAACTTTCCTGACTCTTTGACTGATTATAAATGCCAAGTTCCATTTTTCAACCTGGAAAAACATCATTTAAGGATGGATGGTATCACCCTCATCATCACTGCCACTGCTACCGTTACCACGACATGTGGTCCTAGTGTGCTAGGGCTGCTTTGATACAGGACCACAGACTGGGTGGCTTAAACAACAGAAATGTACTGCTTCACAGTTCTGGAAGCAGCAAGTCTGAAATCAAGGCATTGGCCAATGTTGGTTTCTTCCAAGGGCCGTGAGGGAAGGATCTGCTCTAGGCCCCTCTCTGTGGCTTGCAGTCTTCTCCCTGGGCCTCGTCACATGGCCTCCCTCTCTGCATGTCTGTGTCCACTTTCATAAGGACTTAGTCATCCAGGGTGGATTAGGTTGAGCAGACCGACCTAGCCTAGAACACATGCTCCCCAGCCTCGACCGGTATCCAGAGTTGCCAGGAAGGAAAAGAAGGGAAAGTGGCCAGGTCACACGTGCCCACCACAGTAGCATCTGGACTTCTTTGGAATGGACAGCAGGGGTGTTTAGACCTACATTCCTTGCCGCACTCTACCCCATGATGAGGGCCAGAGCCTCTGTCAGCCTCCCCCTGTCATCTTCTCTTCAATCCCAACTCTGCTCTTTAATTAAATCCACTAGTCTTTCCAATTAGCCGTATCTTTTATTATATCAATATCCGGCAATAGATGGTTTTGTAATATTCCAGTCTATTCTGGAATGTGTCTGGATGTTATTTTGCCTGAGTTACTGATTCAGTTTTTAAGAAATGAATATTACAAACTAAGTTCAGCCCGCATTTCATGCTACAGGAAGAAGATGTTAAAAACCTTCAGCCACAATCACAGTAATGGATCTCTGTCAGAAAAATGAGACTGAGTTAGAAAATAGTGAAAATAACAAAATTCAAAGCCCAGAAGAAACAGAATTAACCTCTACTTGCCCAGATGAAAGAAGTGAAAAGTATCATGTTTGTTGTCTTCTCAGTATCAGTGACATTACGCTTGAACAAGATAAAAGGGCCGGCGAATTTGTCATCGGAACTGGATGGGAAGAAGCTGTGAGTATCTCCTTGGCTGAGGTGCCTCGTGTGTCTGTGTTTTGATGTGAGCCTTTCCTTTTACTTTTGCCAAAAATAATTATTACTAAAAAATGTATAAACAATGAAATACAGAAACCTTAGGAATAGAGGTAAAATATAAGTAATGGTAAGAGCGGTACCTTTCATTGGGTATTTGTGGCCAGTGAGTGTTGGCAAGCACAGGACTAAATGCTTCACATACATCAATTCATCCAACCCCTCAACAGCCCTATGAGGTAGGTATTATGAACAGCCTCAGTTTTCAAACAAGGAAAACGAGGCACCCAAAAGGTGAAAGAGTGTGCCGAACATCACCCGGCCGGAGGCCAAGGCAGAGCTCGAATCCAGCTCTTCCGGGCTCCAGAACCCAAGCTCCTTAGCTGCTGTGCTAAGCTCCCTGGAGGCCTGGGATTTCTGTCCTAATGGCTCACTCAGAACCCCAGGGGTTTATTCTTAAACGATTCTTGGAATCGACAATAGAATCCTAAATTTAGAACCGTAAGGAAATTTGGTCTAATACAGTGATTCTTAGGTGATGCTTGGCACTGTCACAGAACTGAGGGTGAGGGGAAGAGGGTGCTACTGGCATCTACTGGATGGAGCCCAGAGGTGCTGCTCCACATCCCACAGCGCCCAGGATGGCCCCCACCACAAGGAATGAGCCAGCCCCGTCTTAGTTCGGGGCTGCTATAACAGAATACCATAGACTGGGAGCATACGCAACAGACATTTATTTCTTGCAGTCTGGAGGGTGGATATCTGAGATCAGGGTGCCAGCATGGTTGGCTTCTGGTGGGGGAACCTCCTCCTGTTTTGTGCTCACAAGGCCCTCCTTCGTGGTGCAAGTAGATCTCTTATATCCTCTTGTAAGGGCACTGATCCCATCTTGACTTCATTAACCCTAATAACCTCCAAAGGCCCCACCTCCAAATACTATCACCTTGGGGATTTGGGCTTCAACAGAGGAATCTGGGGGAACACAGTCATGCAATCCATAACATGCCCTAAATGTCAGTAGTGTTGAGGTTGAGGAATCCTGATCTAATTGGTTTATTTTATAAATATGGAAACTGAGGCTAAGACATGGCAGAGCCACTCCCCTAAGTCCACTTGACAGTTGAAGGGGTCATGTCGTCAGGACCCTCCTCTTGTACTCTCTCTGGGGCACCGCCCCTCCCCCACCTGGTGTACACACAGGCTCATGCCCGCTAAGGCAGGGTTACAGACAGTTCTATTTGAGGATTTGAAACTTTCCAATTTAGAAGGTTCAGTTTACTATTGAAAGTAATGACTTTGAAATGTATCTATCCAAGGGCTGTTGGAAAAGAATTTTCTATTAATTGGAAGAAATGCCACATGTGCCCCATGCTGAGAGTATGTTTGCCGCTCACAGTCTGTCGAGGATGATCGTGCCGTGCCACCTCCTCCTTCCTGCTGCCCATTGCTCTTCACTCTCTGCCCACTAGCCCTCCCTGGCTTCTCAGGCAGCCTTGTCCCAGGAGGGGTGTCAGAGGCCTGTCCCACCAAAGCCAGCTTCCGGCCCTGGCTTGTGGCCCTTTGATACTTCCTGTACTGGTGCCAGGGACCCATGGGCCAGCATTTAAATGAGGACAGAGAACACTTTGCTGGCAGCAGTTAGTGAGAGTTGCCTATAGTTTGCAGAGCCAAGAGACCTCTCAGGATGGGGTGCCTCAGGGCTGTACACTTTTGACCCAGACCAACGCAACCAACATTTAGCTTACCTGTGACAGCCCATCTGTGAGAATCAAAAGAGCCAGGTGTCATTGACCCCCGTCTCTGGACTTGGATCCCCTGCCAGGCCACCAGAACACCCTGGAGACGTAGATCCTCTATAGCAGCTTCAACCCAAGGCTCACCTGGGGTGTTTTTAAAACCACCCGCCCAGGTCCATCTTGTGAGTATTGGCTTAGTAGGTTGTGGTGGGGCTCAGGAATCTGGATTTTTAGGCAGCAGCTTAGATGACTCTTAGGGTCAAGCAAGTAGAGAACATTTGCTGACTCATCAAATGCACCTGTTTAATAGAACATCTGTAAACATCTGTAGAAAGATTAAAGCCCCAGAATTTAGGTTTCCCTCAATAATTATCCAGCTAAGTAAATGTTGGCATGCTACATAAGCATGGCCAGGAGACAAATCCCCCCTTGTCTGGAGGGAGCAGGGTGGTGGGGAGGGTGCAGGAGGGCGTATGGGAGTGTGGGACTTGTCTCATTGCAGCTGAAGCCACCTTCGGTAGAGAGGCCAGTTAGCCTGAGGATCTGTTAGCTAATGTGCTGGGACCCTTCTCTGCAAAAGCTGGGAAGTCACCTGGGAAGTCAGGGTTGAGAGCAGTGAGGTCTGAAGCAAGCAATATGGTCCTCTTGAAGACCCGGTGCCAACTCAGCAGCACATGAAGGGACAAGGTTCCAGAACAGAAGCCAGAAGAGTAGGCTGGGAGAGTTGTCCGTAGGCTGTCTCAAGAGTGCAGCTCAGGGCAGCGACCTTAGAGCCCCCATATATAATTGCCATCTAAGAATTAGGACTTAACTATGCAAAAGAAAATGGGGTTTTTTGGTTGGAATATATTTGAGGTATCAGCACGGCTTTGGTAAGGGCTAGGACTTTGGAATAAGAAAGCTCAGGTTCAAATTCACCACTTACAGGCAGCTAACCTTGGGGAGGGCTCCTGTGCTGTTGCTCCAAGTTCCTCATCCGTAAATGCTGGCCAGAGGGCTGTACGAGGAGGACAGGAACACCTGATTCAGTGTCGGGCACTTACTAGACTTTTTGAAAAAGTGATGCTTCACACTTTGGAATTTGGGGAGCTGAGCACATGCAGTGAGAGGGTGCAGAGGTCAGGAGGGAAGGATGATAAAGGGATGTTTTTGTGCAAGATGACCAGAGGCTGGCTCCTCACAGCCTCTCCTTGTCCCCTGCGTGGGAATGCACAGACCTTCTGAATGTGGCAGAACTTGCCATTGGCTGTAATAGCGTTTGGAACGGCAGTTTCCACCTCTGTATACTGGGCATCAGAATACCTGAATTATAGTGCTGTGGTGTGGGTTAAATGAACCAATGCCAATACCAATGGATCCTTAGCTCAGTGCCTGGAACATAGTAAAAGCATGGAAACTATGTTTGCTTTTTTTTTTTTTTTACACATAAGTTTGCCAGATTTAGCAAATGAAGATACGGGATGCCCAGTTAAATTTGAATTTTGGTCAACGGTACCTAATATGTTCAGTGTTAAGTATGTCTCAGATGTGGTCCTGATTTTTATCTGGCAACTCTATTTAACGGTGACATTTGTGGCAAATTCAGCCAGGGAACTCTGGGCATGGACGGATTGCGGGGGTGGGGGGAGGCAGGTGGCGCAGGGTGCTGGGGAGTACCCTGACTCAGGGACCTGCCTCTGTTCATTGTCTCTCCCTCCAGCCCCTCCACACAGCAGTCTCCTGGGGTTTGGTAACAGAGCCTGGTGGTCTGAGAGAGCCTGGTAGGGAGACAAGTACAAACAGTTCTGATTTTATTTTAAGAGTCCTGACTTTATTTTGATGTGCATCTAAAAACATATAGTCAGCACATCAAGATGGCCATGTACAGATATTTTTGCTTAGTATTTTAGTATTAAATCCAGTTGCTATATTTCAGATTAACAAATACTGTTACAGATGTTATTACTTAGTATGAGGCTAAAATAGTGTTAAGATTAAAAAAAAAAAAGTGAGTCAATTTTAAGAAAAATATTGGTTCAGATAGGATGGCCAAAATGGGGGTGTGGCCCCAGCTGGCCAGCTAGAGTTTGAGCAGCTCTGCCGGGAGTAACGTGCTGCTTTATTTGCAGGTCCAAGGCTGGGGAAGGACTTGTCCAACTGCCTGCATCTGGCCCAGGAAGAAGCTTAAAAAGGCGAAGGTGGGAGAAAGTACCAGCAGCTGCTTACTCTGTGGCAGTCTCTCCCAAGGGAGCGCTGAGGCCAGGCCTCAGGCCGAGGCGGAGAAGTTGGGGTTGGGGGCTCTGGCTGAGGTGGGTCCAGAGAAGGATCAAGGCAGCCCCTCCCAGACTCAGGGGACCCCTCCGGGCCCCACCGCTGCCTCCAAGGAGATTAGCAAGATCTGCTTTCCCCCCTACGGTCAGGGAGAGAAAAAAAGTCTGCAAATAAAGGAGTTTATTTGGTGCAAGGAAGACTGGGCCACCCCCGAGGCTCTTAGGGGCAAGGACCCGAGAAGCCCCAGCAGAGGTCCCTCCGTCTCAGACTCCTTGACTTCCAGGGCCCTTTTAGTTTTACCTCCCCTGAAGGCTTCACCCGCAAACGGCTTGGATGTTCTGGGTAAGAAGAGTAAGAACTTTTTCTTGCAGCCGGAAGAGAAGGTGCTGAGTGTGGAAAAGGATGAGTGTGTGGCTTGTGCATATGGATTGAAAACAGTTGATGGGAAAGGTGAAAAGAGACCCATTGAGCTGGCCAAGCACCCCAAGGGCAATGACACACTGCCTTTCCCTCCCCGGGTGGCCCCCACATCCCTGCTGGCCAATCCGGAGCGGTGCTGCCTGCACTGGTCCCTCCTGCCTGAGAAAAACCCGATGTGCCCTCCCAACCCCAGCAACGTGCGCTATCTCGCCACCGTGCAGCTTTTGCAGAAACACGGAGTGCAAAACTACAAAGCCAAATTCAAAGCCAGGGAGCCAAGACCTCCCGTCAGCACCCAAAAGCACTTTCTCACGGAGGCCAAGCAGGAACACAGGCCCCAAACGGTGGAGACCAAAATGTTCCCGAGAACTCTCTTGCCGTCCCTCACCGTGAGCAGAGTTGTTATTCCTGTCTCCACTCACAGACTGCTCTGAGTTGCTATAATAGAATTGCCTGGGAATAAGCACTGTTTGAATTCATTCATCCTCTCCCTGTCTCTCTCTCCCACCCCATCCCAGCTTTTCTTCCTTTCTTCTCTTCTGCCATACTCTTCCCGCCCACCCGCCCTTCCCTTGTCCTTTTTTTGCAGTCGAACCAGAGGAAACTGAACCTCATGGTATGGGTTTTGATGTATTCTCAAAACCCCCACATTTATGTGTCACCTGCTTCTGTTGCTCAGCCATTTACAAAATGCAAACTGGTAATGCCAGTCTCAGCCTCTGCCTGCCTTATCTCTCTACTCCCCCTAGAAGCCAAGTGGATGGTGGGGACTCTGAAGGGCCTCCCTCAGTGATGCCCACGGCAGCCCCGAGCCAACTGGCAGGGGCTCTTTCCGCCCCACCCCCATGCCTTAAGCTGAGTGTAAGGGCTTGTTTAGACCAAATTGTTTCCTGATCTTTTGAACCAGGCAAGTATCTATCTCTTGATTTATTTTCTCTTGCAACAAAGATCTGGAACATTGCTTTAATAGGTAACTCCAGCCTGTGTCCAAATAAATATCCTTGTGTCCAAGGTGTCATATCCTTAAATCCACGGATAGATCATACCCACTCCATGCTGCATATCCCAGGGTTTTCATGTACTTATGTTATAGCCTCGTGCTAGTCTCCATGTCTGCAAAAGTTTTAGCCACAGATCTATAAAGTCCATCTTGAGAAGCAGGTTAAGAATAATTATTTGGAAAAAAATGTCACTGTGATTATAATTGTCACCCCACATGCTTCCTCCAGCCTTACCTTGCATCTAATATTTGGGAACTCACAACCTCAGGCCGACTCTTACAGAATAGGAATGTTACTTTCTCCCTTCTGTCCGCCTTCTTCCCTCATTTTACCCCAATGCGTATTTCCTGAAGTTGTATATAAATGAAACATTTGTAAATCAGTTATATTTTAAGTGCCAAGTGACAATGCTATGTAGAGAAATGCTCTGAAAAACCATTTTGTAATATGAATAACCGTTTAGCTGCTCTGTAATTACATAGTTTGCATTTGCTTAAGGTAGGTTGTACTTGAACTCTGGACTTTCTGTCCCCTAAATGATGGGTAGACAGATTATATGACTGTATTTGTAAACATCTGCTTTTCACAATTGGTCTTTGTAATGTCTTTTCTCTTAGTTTAGGTTTTTTATTGTTTTGTGATTTCTATTTACAAAACACCAGAAATGCAGGAATGATTATAGTACAACTGTCATTAAAAGGTGTATTTTGCCTACTGAGGTTGGACGCTTTTTCATAGTCTAGAAACAATTCTGCCCACCTCTTCTCTGAATGAACAAACCATCTGGATTTTGCCCCCAAGAAACTCTGATTTCCCACTGTGTCTGGACCATGAGGTGTTGGATCCTGTGCTCTGTGAGGACCCTCCAGCTCTAGCCTGCCCACCTAAGTCAGTGGTTCTTCAAGCCCTGTCTAATAAACAGCAAGATCATGACTAAGCTCAGTATGTAAAACAGGCAAGAGTGCTGAAACACGGAGTGAAGCGCATCTACCAGCACGAGCCAGGGACAGAGCCCACCAACTCAGTCCAGGGTGCTTACGTTTTGAGATCTTGAGGCAATCTGAAAACACTTGTTAAAACAAAATTTTTTTCTAAAGATTTTATTTATTTGACAGAGAGAGAGAGAAATAGCACGAACAGGACGAGGGAGGCAGAGGCAGAGGCAGAGGGAGAGGGAGAGGGAGTGGGAGAGGGAGAAGCAGACTCCCCGCTGAGCAGGGAGCCCGATGTGGGGCTTTATCCCAGGACCCTGGGATCATGACCTGAGCCAAAGGCAGACACTTAACCGACTGAGCCACACAGGCATCCCCAAAATATTTCTTTCTTAAGAAAAACTCTTTTGTTGAGATAAGGGTTATAAATTCTATAGATTTTGGGGCAAACATAATGATTTAGAATTAAGAGGAGGGCCGGTCTGAACAAAGGAAGGGCCCAAATTTAAAGATGTGTAGTATTCTTCTTTTTGACCAAAACATTAGTTTGGCCAGCAAAATATTGACTAAGAGGTTTGTCTATGAAGAAATTCGTCTATGAGTGTTTTGCATTTGGCATCTCTTTAGGTAATTTTTCAATTAACCTGATTAAGCCCTTCTGGGATCTTATTTGCATTAGCCTGGGTTTAGCTTGTTTTCTGTGGATAAAATCACTCCAGGTTTTGCCCCTTTCCATTCAGATTCAATCAGGATGTCCAGACTGGTCTTTGATGTCCAAGTCTAGATAAAGGAAAAATGTCTAATAGAATGCAGTCCCCATTAGGGTTCTAGGTCATCAACAAAACTTTCAGAGGAAATCATGCCACTTAAGGGTGTTAAGCATGTTCTAATGATGGCAACAGCCCTCTTCCTATCTCAGGGTAATGGTCTTAGTTGGGTTTTGGATCCTCTACTCCTCTCTAAACCAAGCATGGAGGGCTGTGTTTCACCCCTCATGCTATTAGTTTTGGATGTCTCATTAATCAAACTTTCCAAACTCCTATTTTTCTCAAAACTTTAAAAATCACCACGTGGAACTGTGGCAGCACTAGACACGGCTCCTGCAGGGCCCGAGGTCACCTTCTGGGTGAGGCTGGGTTGAGGCCTGGGGACGCTGCCGAGGGTCTGGGTGAGGCAAGGAAGGGGCTGGAGGGGCAGGGAACCTGGACAGACAGAATGTTTTCTGACAGAGATGAAGGGGTGGCACTTTCAAAGGGCAAGGGGAAGATTTTAATTAATTCAGAATAAGGCCAGGCTACATTTGGACAAGTACATAGGATTTTGGTTACTCAGGGAGACTTTCCCTAATTTTTAGCATCTTTTTATTCTGGACGTGGCCCCCTTTTGTGAAATTTACCTGTATTTCAAGGACCATGCTATAAAATGATTGGAACCCAGAATCAAATTGCCTTTCACTCTCCCTCCCTCCACACTTAAGAGCTTCAGGACCCAGAGAGACCACAGAATCCTACCCCATCTCTCTGGGTATCCCCAGCTGGCCAAGGCCAAGCTGCATGACTGGAGGCCTCATATCTGGGGCTTTTTGGGGTGTCTGGGTTTGGGTCCAGCGCAACTTCAGTGCTGCAGTTTAGGGGCTACTGAAGATCAAGGTGGGAAATAAACAGGGGCTCCTGTGGCTATGACCAAGGGCGTATCAGGGCAGTCGCTGGTACCCCAGGGAATACTCTACCACTGTCTGCCAAGCTCACTGGGACGCTGGTGCCAGGAGACTCAGTGCCATGCTTTTGGTGTCCAGACTAAGCTCTGCCCCAAGCTCTACTACCAGCCACACAATACAGTAATTCCTTTGAATTTACAAGGCACTGTTCTAAGAGTTCTAAGTCCCTTCTGGGTATTATTCTCTTTATCCTGAGCAAATGCATGAGTGTCAAGGATCATTTTCTCCTTCCTTTGTTCCAGGCCTGGATAATTCTTTGTAGAGATTGTTTTGTACAGACTAGGATATTTAGCAGCATCCCTGGCCTCTATCCACTCGATGCCAATAGTATCCCTCAGTTGCGAGAATCGAGAATGCCTCCAGACGTTACCAAGTGCCACAAGGCCAAATCTGCCCAGTGAAGAACCAATGCTTTAGGGAATCCAATGCCTGTGTTCGCAGCTTCTCTGACAGTTTTACTTACAAAGCACAAGCCTTGGCACAGGGACAAAGGAAAAGTGGGCGAAGTCTGGCTTGCTGCATCCTGCAAAGCACAGGTGCTCTGGATCTAAAGCCCCCTGGTGCTCTCAGTTTTGTCTTGGTCCTTCAAGGTCTTCTGGTGGTACCTGCCCAGGTTACCCCCACAAGGAAGTGTTCACAAGCCTGCTTCTTCTCTGAGACCATCTCATAATGACAGTAGGCCCACTTAGCCAGAGCCCAGAAAAGCTGTCAATATTCCCATATTTGTCTTTTGAGAGTGTGCATTATTGCTTTGGCAAGGTTTTCAAGAAAATTCTATGATGTTAAGTTGATGTATTTACATGTAATGGCATTGTTCAGAATTCCTTACTCTCAACATTCACTGCTTATGCCAAATCAACGTGAATATTAAGAGGTGGCCAAGACCGTGTATATCACTCCTTAGTAGCCACTGGCAAATTGATACATCACACATATATATGAAAATAGTCCTTGTTCCCGATTTAGCTCAAACTACAAACCTTTCTTCCCTGTGTATTTTTTTTTAAATGAAACAATTTCTCTGCTTATGACTGTTCACTCGAAAACATACCATGAACTAGTCATATTTTTAGTACCACAGGACTGTTAGCAATTTTATTTTAGTCTGCATGTATTCTGAAGGAAACCAGAAATCAAACATTTAATTCGGGATACATACCACCAGTTCTGATACTGTTCATGGCTCTATGAATGTTTAGTTTCAATCCTCATGACTGATTTCTCTCATGTAATTTCAGGAAAATGGAAAGTCAGAGAGATCCTTATTATGGTAGCTAGAGAACATTAAATCTGAAGACTTACTATTTAGGCACATATCTCGTTAGAAAACAGTGATTTAAATGGTTTTAAAATAGAACACATCTTGCCAAAAAGGTAAAAAAGAATAGACAGCAATTTCAATTAATAGCACTAGACTCTCAAATACAGCTGAAAAAAAATTGTTCCCATGAACTGAAATAAGCCAATATAAATAATTCCGAAAGCATAGTTGGCTTAAGTTTGGATGGTTTCTTAAAAGTGTACTTTAAGGGGCGCCTGGGTGGTTCAGTGTCTGACTCTTGATTTTGGCTTGGGGTCATGACCTCGGGGTCCCGGGATCAAACCTTGCGTAGGGCTCAGCGGAGTCTGCTTGTCTCTCTCTCCCTCTGTGTCCTCCTTCCCCCCACGCTAGCGCACGCTCTCTAAGTAAATAAATAAATCTTTAAAAAAATGTACTATAAAATCTTAATTTCTGAAAGCTCACTTTAAATAGGGAGATGTTAACGCGGTGCATCGGAAGGTTAAATACCCTTTGTGATTAATTAAGATGCATTTGACTTCTGCCAAGTTTTTATTGCAGCACAAGCTCTACATTTTCTGAAGTCACTAAATTTCTCGTTACAGCACAGGAAAAGAAGATAAAGTAGGAAGGGGATGACTTTCAAATTCAATCCTAAACAGCAACATGTTTGAGAGGCAATCATAAAACCAAACAAGGATATGGAAAAAGCAATGGGTCACCAGAAAGCAAAGAGTAAAAAAGCTGCAAGCAAAAACAGTAAAAGATGCCATGCTTGGAACAAGGTCTTACTGACAGATATCAGGCGAAGAAGCTCATGCCTTTATGACAAACAAAACAAAACAAAACAAAGCTTTGTTCACATTGAAATGGCATATATAGTTTTGAGAATAACAAAGTCACCATGGAGAAATATTTTTTCAAAAAAATTTCATTTTCTCAAATATTTTTTACAATTATTTTGTTTCTTTTTTGTAGCATTCTGTCCCCTAACATTAACTTTCTTGACAGTCACATACCAAAAGTCTGTGGCAGGGCCTCGGCAGTAAGTTTCTGCTATGCCAACGGTCACTATTTTGACTTTGTGGACTTAGAACAAAGTTACAAGTGTGTGCATTTTGTTATTAGTAAGGCAGTATAAAATTTGGAGTTTTTTTCTGAAGTTTGTCGAAAGTAATATTGGTACTCTTCCAGTGTTACAGACAATGCTTGAATTTATTCACGTGGTTTGGGCATTTGCTCCTTTCACACACACGTTATTAAATGTAGTGCCACAGCTGTTAGTTTGAGAACACTGACAACCTGGGAATCCCCTTCATCTTTAGCCTACCTCTCCTGATATGTAAGCTAATACCTCAGGGTCAATCGACACTGACGGCACAACTGAGAGAACCCTTTGGATTGGAACACTGCAACACAAGCGTATTTACTTGACTACCTTCTCGGCAGTAACAACATTATACTAGCCAACATCTTGATGAAGAAACTAGATGAAAATCCATGTCATTTAACAGTTTTTTAGATGTTGGGAATATGAAGCCAGAAGACAGACATGCTCTCTCCCAGAGCCAAATCTGATTGGCGATACTTAACGCACTCCGATGTGAACACACACATCTGTTGTGAAATATAAGGAAAATTAAACTGCGTGAATACTTGAGACTTCAAAGCTTTCATCCCTAAATCCCCAAAGGTACACGTTTCTCTTTCTCTTTTAAGAGCCTTCCGACGACCCGAGTGAGGAGCCCTGCTTGAAATAAAGCAGAGTAAATGCTCCTTAGAGTCAATAT